GACCTATATGATCATCTTTTAGATCAATTACCTTGCGTTATTGAAGAAATTATGTTTGAAAAAATATTTTTGATATATTACTAAGCATACAGCAATGAAAATTACTAAAATTTCGGGTTTAACCCGGGTTATTCGAATTAAATATACTCGGGTCGGGTTAAAATCGGATCATTTCTATTTTTGCCAGGTCGAGTCGGATATATTCTCCAAACCCGACCGAATCCGACCCGGTAGGAGCACTAATTATTGTAAACTGATTTTATTCGTGTTAATAATAATGATAATATACTAATTGTAGTACTAATAAATAAATGTATAAAATTTATAAAATTTATTAATAAAATGATTTTTAACTAAACGATTTTTCATTGTCGCATATAATTCCCACCATAGAAGTATAATTCTGACCACAATTATACGTGATATTGCTCAGCATTACATAATTGAATTATGTCTAAACAAAAAATTTCAAAAAAAATAATACAAACAAATAAAGATAAATTTTGCAATAAAAAAAAAAATATAATCACTCAATTCTTGATATCATCTTCATTACTATCATCTGTTTGTTTTGAATAATAAATAAAATTAATATTAAATAATTAAATTATATTGTGCATTATAAAAATTATATTATCACCTACCTTTTAATTGTAATGAGCTAGAAACCTCCAAGTCAAATAATTGAGAATCTTGACAATCTATGAAAGAAATAAATTAAAAATTATAAAATAAAATATTTACTTTTAAAAATTCCAAAAATAATACCTTTACTATTCTCTTCATCATCAAGGTATGATGTAATAAGAGATGAATTAACAGGTTTTGTTAAATTAGTTAATGTAAATAATCTACTAGTATATATAGCATCAGGATTTTTCTCGTATGAAGTTGAAATATTTGGAATTTCTTTATCAGCTTCTTCAAACAAAGCCTCAATTTCTTTTCCTTTATATCCAAATTTTTCTTTTTCTTGATATTTTACAATGTGAATAGAATTAGTCCAAAAAAGTATTATATCATACAACTCACTGGCTGTTGGTCTTTGATTTGAATTAGCATTCATACATTTATAAGCTAGTTTCTTATAAATATCAGGAGTTCCTTTTCCAAAATACGGTCTGAGTCCATTACATATTTCTAATGCTAAGGTAGTATCATGTTCTCTTTTATGAAAAGGTGGTATTCCAGATGATAATTCTGTCATAATTACACCAAAACTATAAATATCAGAAGATAATGAATATGGTTCTCCATTTAAAACTTCTGGGGCAATATATGGTAATACTCCACATATTTTATCATCTGATTTTTGTTTGTTTGATGGTCCAGATAATCCAAAATCTGAAATATAAGATACACTACCTACTTGTAATATATTACCACTATGGAAATCTTTGTGAAAATATCCTAATTCATGTAAACTTTTAAGACCATATGCTAACCAGTCTAAATAAAGAATTTTATTATTCCATAAAATATTATTGAAATTATGCGAAAGAACACTTCTCAAATTTCCTTTATTTGCGAATTGTAAAATCATCATAAATTCTTCAGTTTCTGGATCTTTAGTCATTCCATAAAATTTTAATAAATCAATATCAGTTGATTTATAAAAATCCCATTGTATTTTAAGCTATTGTTTGCATTTAATTAAGGATAAAATTATAATTCATTAAATATTAAGTAGAATATGTAATGTTAATAAAAAAAACATACCTCATTTAAATATTCAGCTGACATATTCTGCGATCCATTCAACCTTTTCAAAGCAACATTGATAGGTCGAGGTTCTTTTCTTTTCCAGCCATAATCATATTCTGCTTTTCCATCAATCCATGTTGCAGAAAACACTTTTGCAAATCCACCTATACCAATTTGTTTTACATTTTTAAATTTATCAAATGGTACCCATTCAAGAAACCTATCATACTCATACGTTTTATTTCTCGCATCATAAATTGTATCTTTGATAAATTTATCAAGGTCATTATTTCCGCTGGTCCAACCTTCAATCATTCTAAATGGATCACATTTTTTACACCATAATTCTTCAGTAAATGGTTTATTGCAATAAGAACAATTTTTATGGCTAATATTTATTGTACTAGAATCTTTATCCGAGATATTTAAATTAGTAAATTCTGTTTCTATAATAACTTGTGTTTCATTTCCTTTATCCATTTTATTATATGTTTTGGTAGAATTAAAAAAGGCGTTACTTGCGTTACTTGCGTTACTTTAACTGTATTTTAATGAGGATAGAAAAGGAATTCGTATCACAGTAATACATGAACAATATTAGGTTGATCAAAGGTTGATCAAAGATTGATAAGGTTACTTGCTGCGCCATTAATTTTTCTAACAATAAATAATTCGTTACAAAATAATTGAAAACTAAAATATATAGAATTTTGTGACTAAAATTAACACTATCGACAAGCAACTTACTAGCAATCAATTTTATGAATATACGGAATTTCTATTCCCATCACAAATTGACAAAAAAGTAAGAAAACACAAACACTTTTCTGTATAATAAATTTTATTTTACGTTTTATTAGAAACTAATGAAATGAGCAAATTTTATAAGTATCAAAAGGTTTCGTTTTATATGTAAAAAAAAAAGTAGGATTCATATAAAGGGAACTTCTTCATATGTAATGAAATTGTAATTTGTATTAATATTATATTCTGACATTTTAAAAAAAAGAAATATTAAATCAAGGAATAATTATACAAGAGACGCACAATAATACAAGGATTATTTATCATATTTAAATTAGCTAATGCTTTTGCCATTAATATAATTTTAACATAATTTAACTATAATTTTAAATATCAATCACGTCATAATAAAAAAAAAAATTTAAAAAAAAAACTAAACTTTGTGAGTTTGATTTTTTGATTTGATAATTGATTTGATTCGAATATTGTTAAGAAATTAGGAATAATTTAAATTTGTATAATCTGACCTCGGTTAATATATCATTGTACTATTAAAAACTTGATATAACGTCAATATATTATTATCGATACAATCCTAATATAATAGTAACTTTTTATTTGAGATCGCATCAAACACTATTTTCATTACTAATATCATCTGTTATTTAAATAAAGAAAATAAAATTAATAAATGATTTATCAAAAATAATGATTTCGATTTGAATTGTTTGGCGTTTAGCTGAATACAGTAATTGAATTGTGTAGCATGAAAATTCGTGTCATAAGATGAAACCCGTGACATGCCTGCGCCGATCTATTCATCTGTTTGTTTTGAATAATAAATAAAATTAATATTAAATAATTAAATTATATAGTACATTATAAAAATTATATTATTACCTACCTTTTAATTGTAATGAGCTAGAAACCTCCAAGTCAAATAATTGAGAATCTTGACAATCTATAAAAGAAATAAATTCAGCCATTATGGAATAAAATAATTGTCAAATTAAACATAATACCATACATAATACCTTTATTATTTTCCTCATCATCATCAAGGTATGATGTAATGAGAGATGAATTAATAGGTTTTGTTAAATTATTAAATGTAAATAATCTACTAGTATATATAGCATCAGGATTTTTCTCATATGAAGTTGAAATATTTGGTATTTCTTTATTAGCTTCCTCAAACAAAACCTTAATCTCTTCACCTTTATACCCAAAAATTTCTTTTTCTTGATAATATTCCTCAATAGAATTAGCACAAAAATATATTATATCACACAATTCACTGGCTGTTGGTCTTTGATTTGAATTAGCATTCATACATTTATAAGCTAATTTCTTATAAATTTCAGGAGTTCCTTTTCCAAATTCTGGTCTGAGCCCATTACATATTTCTAATGCTAAAGTAGTATCATGTTTTCTTTTATAAAAAGGTGGTTTTCCAGATGACAATTCAGCCATAATCACACCAAAACTATAAATATCAGAAGATAATGAATATGGTTCTCCATTTAAAACTTCTGGGGCAATATATGGTAATACTCCACATACTTTATCATCTGATTTTTGTTTGGTTGATGGTCCAGATAATCCAAAATCTGAAATATAAGATTTATGATCTACTTGTAATATATTACCACTATGGAAATCTTTGTGAAAATATCCTAATTCATGTAAACTTTTAAGACCAAATGCTAACCATAATAAATAAAGAATTTTATTATTCCATAAAATATTATTGAAATTATGTGAAAGAACACTTCTCAAATTTCCTTTATTTGCGAATTCCAAAATCATCATAAATTCTTCAGTTTCTGGATCTTTAGTCATTCCATAAAATTTTAATAAAATATCTTCTGATTTATAAAAATCCCATTGTATTTTAAGCTATTGCTTGCATTTAAATTAAGGATAAAATTATAATTCATTAAATATTAAGTAGAATATGTAATGTTAAAACAAAAAAAACATACCTCATTTAAATATTCAGCTGACATATTCTGCGATCCATTCAACCTTTCAAAGCAACATTGATAGGGTATGATTCCCTTTTTTTCCAACTTCCATCATCTTGTTTATCATATTCTGCTTTACTACTAATCCATGTTGCAGAAAACACTTTTGCAAATCCACCTATACCAATTTGTTTTACAACTTTAAATTTATCAAATGGTACCCATTCAAGGAACTTATTGTACTTTGTATTTTTCGCATCATAAATTGTATCTTTGATAAATTTATCAAGGTCATTATTTCCGCTGGTCCAACCTTCAATCATTCTAAATGGATCACATTTTTTACACCATAATTCTTCAGTAAATGGTTTATTGCAATAAGAACAATTTTTATGGCTAATATTTATTGTACTAGAATCTTTATCCGAGATATTTAAATTAGTAAATTCTGTTTCTATAATAACTTGAGTTTCATTTCCTTTATCCATTTTATTATATGTTTTGGTAGAATTAAAAAAGGCGTTATTTGCGTTACTTGCGTTACTTTAAACTGTATTTTTAATGAGGATAAAAAAGGAATTCGTATCACAGTAATACATGAACAATATTAGGTTGATCAAAGGTTGATCAAAGATTGATAAGGTTACTTGCTGCGCCATTAACATTTCTAATAAAATAATTCGTTACAAAATAATTCTATGAAAGCTGAAAATTAAAAAGTGATAAAAAAAATTAAATAAAAAAATCAAATAACAAAAAAAAGTGGTATAAAAAATAAATAAAAAAAAAATCAAATAACAAAAAAAAATTACGTAAAAAAAAATCAAATTACAAAAAAAAAATTAACGGGAAAAAATATTAAAATTACGTAAAAAAATGGGTTTAGTCTATAAAAAAAATATAACCGATCTGACCTTCTTAGGATCGATGATCTAACCAAAAAGAATATAATTCTCTATTAATTATATAATTAAAATTAATAATCAACAAGTAACAATATTACTGATATTAACCTAAATAATCTAGAAAATAAAGAGCAAAAAAAAACTTACACTAACATGGAATAGATTAGGCGCAAGCAGAAAATATATTACACAATTAAAAACTATTTATACATGCTAGTCTAAACGTTACGATTTTTTCATGTATTTTTTTAGTTATATCATCATAATACATTAATTATCGATTTATTTAGTACGATAAAATGTGATAATTATCGATAAAGTGATAATTATCGATATTTATCCTCCAAAAAAATTTCCCGATGGTGATCATTTTTCTGGAAAAAATTTTTTATAAGGTATAGAACATGTATAAGTTTCTTATTTGAGATAATTACACATATGATGACATTTTTAGTCTTAATCAATTAAGGACAGTTTTCATTCATTTTTTTTTTCCCTTGTTAACCTAATAAAATTTATTGTCCTTAAAGAATAATAAAAGCTCCGACGAACGTGTTGATATAAAAAGTGTTGAAGTGATGTAAAAATGATATTGTGAATACAGCATATATACGTAAATTCCAATTTCGAATAAGAAAGAATTTACTTTTTAACCTTTTAATTTATTAGTAAATTCTCTTTTTTTTTGCAATATCGTGGTTTTTCATTGTGAATACAAAAACATATACACATAGAAAATAATTTTACACGAATAATATATTCTATTAGTTATTTTATGTAATATACATATCGCATTAGATTTTGTTAGATGGCTAATTTTTTTTGGTAGCTAATAAGAATGGTAACTTTTTGACTTCAGCATCACGTGGATTTTAATTTTTTTGATAATTATTATTTCTGTATTATCCATTAATTCCATACTTTCCATTTTCATTTTGAAATTTTTTTTTTTTTGAAAAAATTTAGTTCAAAAATGGAAAGATTTCCATTTCTAAATAAAAAAAAATTAAAACCACCCATACTAACAATATAATTCAAGGTACGCAGAATATGATCATCATCAATTTGGTACAAAAATTCTCCTCATATCGGCGGATTTGTAATCACATGTCATTTGACTATAATAAATTTATTGGTTCTCTAATTTACCGCCTTTTCAAATTAGCCATAGCACCCCTAAAAATAATCGATTTCCAAAAATTTGCGATTTAATACCGGCAATTTTATTGTACCATTATATAGAAAATGGCCGATTATCAGCGATTTCTGAAAGAAATTTTTGTGATTTCTGGGATATATATATACAGTATATATATTAGTTTCATTATAAATAAAATTTAAAACTAACACTATTATATTCAAGAGAAACTACTTAAATAAAAGAAATTATTCAGGAAAAATTCTGAAAACCGATTTCCTTAGGGGATGACGTACAGTCGTACAGGGGAGTCCACTAACTTGAAAACAGCAATGTTCGGCCAACATGTGATTAACAATCCATTTAAATGATCGGCCATGTCTATTAAGCAATTTCCTTTAATATTATTATTTTAATTAAAATAAAAATGGTAAAAATGTAAAATAAATTTTGAAATTTTTTTTGAATTTTTCAATTTTCATAAAAAGAAAAAAACTCTCAGATAATTTTATATATGAAGTTAATGTTTTTTAATTTTTTTTTTATTAGAAATGAGAAGTTTTTTTTTAAAATGATATGGAAAATTACATACTTACATTAAAACCGAGTTTAATATTACTTGAAAATCTTTACTAGCGTACGTAAAAATTTATTTTCCAAGATTTGAGAAATTTTTGTATACAAATACAACCAATTTTGCTTTTTCAATTTTTCTTCATCCGAAAAAATTAAAAATCAAAATAATAAAAAAATCCTAACCAGAGTCTAATTTCTCCTCTTCCCTCATTTTATAATACTATAGCATTCTTTATCCACCGTGTGGATAGAATAATTATTAAATCATCACCTTCCTCTTATATTATATTTATCTCCTTATTTTATAAAATTCTTGCCTAAATAAATAATTATCTAAAAAAAAAAAAAAAATGGTTGCTCTACGCTTCGCTAAAATATTCTCTATCGCTGTAATAGTTACTTTCTTTCTCTCCTCGGTTGAATCAGCAAAAAATGAAACTGATTGCCCTAAAACATTATCAATCAATGCCAAGTCTGATGGTAAAGGGAAAAAATTTATCGTTGTCTTTAAAGACAAGCAAGCTGCTCAAAGACAACATGAGTTGTTTAAAAATTGCTTTCATGCAGAAATTGATAGTTTCGATAAAATTAAATCTCTTAACGATAAAGGCAAACCCGCTTTCGTTAGTTTCGGAATTGTTAATCTTTTTGGTCTTATTGGAGAAATGACACCACAATTTGCAAAGGAACTTGAAAAAATGAATGATGTTGATTATATTGAAGAAGATGGTGAAGTTAAGGCTCAATATGTAGTACCATCTCAACTTACTAGACGTGCAGTAGACAATAAACCAACTTATAATATTGATCGTATTGATCAAGCTAAACGACCTCTAGATGGAAAATATACTTTCCCCGATTCTGCTGGAGAAGGTGTAAACGTTTTTGTTGTCGATTCTGGTATTCGAATTACACATAAAGAATTCGGTGGTCGTGCCAAATTCGGAGGATCTTTCTGTAATGGATGCAGTGAAGAAGATGAATATGGTCATGGTACTCATGTTGCTAGCATTGCATGTGGAGAAACTTTAGGAGTAGCAAGAAAAGCCACACCAATTTCTGTTAAAGTTTTGGACGATGAAGGTGTTGGAACATTTAGTTCAATTATCGCTGGATTGAACTTTGTGGGAGAAACACATAATAAGAGTAAAAATAAGAAATCAGTTGTCAACATGTCTATTGTAGGTGATAAATCAAAAGCTGTAAATTATGCTATCAAGCAACTTACCGATGCTGGTGTTCACGTAGTTGTTTGCGCAGGTAACGATAGTCAAGATGCTTGTGATATATCACCTGCATCTGAGCTTAGCGCTATCACGGTCGGTGCTACCGAAAAAAATAGTGACGCAATCACAGATTTCTCAAACTTTGGAAAATGTCTCGACATTTTCGCTCCAGGTCGGGACATTCAAGGTGCTAATTTTGAAGACGATAATAGTACTTTAATAATTTCCGGCACCTCTCAAGCTACCCCACATGCTGCTGGTACTATAGTTCTTATAATTGCCAAGAATGGTAACAAATCACCGGCTGAAATGGCAAAGGTACTTTATACTTTATCAACGAAGGGAGTCGTTGAAGGTCTTAAGGATGGTTCTCCAGACAGCTTTGTACGTATTCCAAGCGCATAAAATATACATAGAATACTTTAGATAGACATATAGTAAAATTGTATTTAATTACTTTATTATTATTATTATTATTTTTATTATTTAATTCTTGACTAAAAAAAAACAAGCGGTTTAAATAATTGTAATTTTGGATTAATCACAATCAAAAAAAAAAAAAAATAATGTCTTTAATTTTACTTTTAATTCAGCAGTAAATTAACTATTCAATTAACTTTTAATTCAATTCAATCAACTTTTAATTTTTTTAATTCAATTTACTTTTTAATTCATAATTTCATTCATTTTACTTTTAATCTTTGAATAATTTTGATTTAATTTTTTTTTTCTTTATTGCGTTTTAAAATAAATCGTTACTTTCAACACATGATAAAATTTCATTTAGTATTTCACCTGTCATAAAGATAACGGATTGTTCATAATTATGTCATTATTAAAACAAAGGATTTTTTCCTCATGAAATAATTTATGTAATTGGTTGACAACGATCACCGTAGTAATCAAACCCTCCTTACATAATCATAATATTTGATGCAATCGTACAGTACAAGATTTTCAGGTGATACTGATTGTTGTTTATTTGCTCGCTCCTTACTTTACTTACCTAACCTACCCACTTTTTCTCTTTTCCTTTTCTTTTTCATGCCCTATAAAAAATTTTATCCGTTATTTCTGTAAAAACTCGAGCCTTTCACGGATCCATTCACGGAAAATGTAAATAATTCGATAAATTCCGTGATGTAAAGTTATTAATTCCGGGAATATGAACCTTTTACAGAAAAAGAAGGAATATAAAATCGGATCGACTTTCTTTACAGGGATGTAAAAATATTTGGTAAATAATAAAAAAACTTGTACACCCTCTTTAATAAAATATAAAGTCGCATTACTGTGTTATGTGACGTGTTTGTTTTCTTCATTTTATAGCGTAATTTTATTACTTTAGTTAAATTTAATAGACCTTGGAGAAAATATAAAGTTGTTTATCGAGTGTAGAACTATTCAGACATTAAATTCCATCAAGTTATCTTAAATATTTGTGGAGGTATGATTTTTTTGCATAAAATTAATATGCCGCGCATGTTTTTTCACTTTATAACGTAATTTTGTCATTTTGGTAAATAAATAAAACAGGATTTGGAAGATTAAGTAAGTTGTTAATTGGGCGTGAAACTACTTACATGTTAATTTTTATCAAGCTAGCCCGAATACTTATGAAATTATAGTACTTTTTTAATGATATTAATCCTTTATTTTTTTAATGTAAAAAAAATTATACAGACAATATTATTATTGCATACAAGCTCTAACTTCATTTAATTTAAAGTTTTAAGTTTTGTTTTTCATATTTTTCATATTTTTCATAAAGTTAAATTTTGATTTTTTGAGCCAATTATATTTGAGAAAAGAGTTGTACTGTACGGACTTAATTTGTAGAAGTTCGTACAGTACAGTACAGTACATTATTATAGGTTTTGATAGTTTATTTCAAGGGCAAGAAACATTATTATTTAATAAATAATATTATTTCACTAAGTACAAAAATAAATAAATGATTTATAAAAACATGTAATGCATGAATATAGTATATTTAAACATTATTTAGAATTTATACAATAGATTAATTTATTTATTGCTTCATACTCCTTTTATTTATTGGAAAAATAAAAACCTTATTGAAAAACACAGTGATTACTTTTAATAAATGTATAATATCATTAGAGAAAGAAAAAATAAATTGAGAATACATTAAATTAACCTCTTTATTATGTCGAATTGACGTGATAGCTAACTACAAATACAGGTATCAACATTGCAGAACATGTGATGCTGATTTATCAAGACTAATGGCTAACAGAGAGATTTTTGAATAAAAAAATTTGGTGATTAGAGGTAGGTATCATTATTATATGTAAGTTTGTAGATAGTTTAGTTTAGTAACGTTTTCTTTGTTCTTAGATAGAATGTTAGTTATAGCATCATATTGTACGTAGGTACATACGGTTCTATGTATTTCTTGTAAAATTTAGTCCTTTAAGGCATATAAATTAATAAAGAAATGCGTTACAATTAAAAAAAAACACATGCGATGGTAAGATTTTTCATTGCTAATAAAAAGCTCCATTTTCAGTTTTCGTGATCGGTTGCAGCTATCCAAACAATATTTTTTCGGTTTTTTCGGTCATAGACCAAATTAATTTTTAAATGATATTTTTTTCATCCCTTGTGTTTGGACTGTTTTTTTTTTATGTTATTTTTTTTTCAGTCTTTTCAAACCAAAAATATTTTTTTTTTTTTTTAAACACCTTTTTTTACAGGTTCTTATAGACTGAAATTCTGATTTGAATAATACTTAATAAATTTTATATTTTATTTTTATTTTTTAAGGTTTTTTTATTATCATTTGTTTTTGCTTTTGTGATTTTTTTCTTATTATTAAATAGATTGTCTCCATCTTCTGACATAAGTTGTAGTATTATATAGATCATAAAGGATGAAAGGATTTTAAAATGTTTAATGATAGTGAACAAAAAGGAATATTAGAAATAGATGAAAGATTATATTATTATACAAAAGAATTACAAAAAATGTGTTATTATTATATAGAAGATAAAAGGAATAGTATGTATTTTATACTGATAACCGATTAACAAAGATTTTTAGGCAATTTTGTCATTTAACGTTATCTCCTACGAAAAAAAAGTACTGACTTTGAACGGTATTATATGTAAGGTTTTATCATCGAAGTGAAAAATAGTGATCTCATGTGGCTATTTCAAAGAATTTCTTTAATTAAATTTTATTGATGTGATAAATACTATTATATCTAATACAATGACGGATCCAATGAATGATAAAGAATTATCTTTTAAATACCTGATTATGAAAAATTATCTCATACAAATTCAAAAACGGGATCATGAGAAAGAAATTAACAGTCGATTAGAATTAATTCGAAACAGCTAATCGTTGTGATTTAATTCGAGTATGCTATTATGTTTATATTTATACTCCTATTAGATTGAATATTTGTTAGCATAGAAAAAAAATGAACAATGAATAAGAACGTCAAATTCTTTACAAATCTTTTCATAATTATCATTTATCACAGTCTACAAAAGTCTTTATTATTGAAGTAGTTAATAGATATTCATAATATACGGATATTATATCTTCATATTTCGAGAATCATTTTATACTTCAGTTACTTCACCATCCTACTATTTTTAATCATTTGATAAAAATATATACCTATTATCGATTTAAATCGGTCGTTTCACAGCAAAATTATAATCGATAGATAAAAAAAAATTATTTCATTTACGTGTTAATAATTATAATAATATAATTGTAGTACTAGCGAAGATGTATAAGATCACGTGGAGAAGTCACGCGCACGTGAAATTTTGTGCAAATAAAAACCACCCTAGCGTCGCCTAGAAAAAATGGTAGCCGGATAGGTTTTCCGGGTTACACGTGATTCGGAAAATGATTTCCGGTTAGCTTGTTAATTTTTATTATAACGTAGTAGGGATGGCAACGGTCGGTCATGGTCGGTCATCGGTCGGTCATGACCGGTCAAGAACCTTTGACCGACCGACCGACCGTTTGACCGACCGTTTGACCGATCATTTTTTTATATTTTCGCAGCGTTTTTATTAGGACAATTGAAAAAACGTGCGAAAACTTTTTTTTTTATTAAATTATTAATAAAAAACGTTTTCGCAACGTTTTTTGTTAAAATAATCAAAACCGTTTGCGAAAAACGTTTTTTTTAAATTAAATTATTAATAAAAAACGTTTTCGCGACGTTTTTTATTAAATTTTTCATAAAAAAATTTGGTCGGTCAAACGGTAAGTCAAACGGTCAGTCAAACGGTCGGTCAGAGGTCTTTGACCGACCGATATCGGTTACGGTTATGACCGGTCATAACCGGTTAATGACCGTGACCGTTGCCATCCCTAATTGTGAATAAAATCAAATTTGATAATTTAATAATATATATGTATATATAAAGAATTATTTAAATTATAAAATAAGAAACTTGTAAAATATTTACTACTCTACACTTAGTGTTTAAATAATTTCTAAGTAAAATAAAAAAAGAGAATACATATTGATGAAAAAATTGTTTAAATTTCAAACTAAGAAATTTGTAATATATTTTACTACTCTATTCTTAGTGTTTAAATAACTTTGAAAGAAAACAAAACAATATCTTTGTTGAATATATATAATAACAAATATAACTTTGATTATATATTTGTGAAATCTTTAAAAATTCAAAATACTTTTCTATCTTCACGTACTTTAATATCTAAATAATAAATTACTTAGTATAAAATAATTATATAAAAGTCAACTTCTTTTATACATATCTTATACATAGTATATACAAAGTGCCTGATGATTTCCACTAGCATCATTATAATCAATACATACTTCATCCTTTTCACATGATTTATCAAAAGTGTTGAGATTACCATCAGGATTTTGACAATGAACACTTATTTTTCTCAATTTATCACAATATGAATAAAGGACTACATCGTTCTCATCTTTACACTCGGGAAATTGAAGTCGCTTATTCAAATGTCCACGACGACTCAGAGACTGCTGATTTGGTGGTCCATACTTTTCCAATTGAGCATGGTGACTAGTCAATTTTGGTGATACCTCTAGAGATGCTCCTATGGTTATAGTTGTGATCGCAATTAAAAAGAAAGCGTATATAGTACATAATTTAGCAAACATACTCTACTTGTGCTTTAAGTTGGTTTTTGTAGAAGGATGTAAATGTAGGAACACACTATTTATACACTCTTATTATGTATTTCAATATGATATAGGCTAGTTATTTGTGCAAATCTTATTCTTTGTTAAGCTTTATTTTAAAAGAATTTTTCTATCACCGGGGATGATGATCACCAGTGACTGAAATTATGACGATCGACCAGCATTAAAAAAATATAGTGCCAGTAAAAATTGATAATTCTGGCCAACGGTGATGATCATTGAAGTTAAAAACTATTTTAAATGTCATTTTGAAATTTGAAATTCTTTCTGTGATTTTGAGATCGGAAATAAATCATACTGTTTACATTTTGTCTCAGATTCACAAAGAGTTTTGGTGCACCTAATTTCAGAAATCGTTTACTATCTGCTGCAAGTTGACTATTAGACTAACCGTGAAAATAAGTGTTTTTGTCTCATGTAATTTCCAATTAAAAAAACTATGGGATAAAATTAAAAATTATCAGGATTTTGACTTTTTCTGGAATTCGTAATACAACCTCTTTCATGTAATTTTTTAATCATTTTAAAAAATTTTATCCGTTATTTCTGTAAAAACTCCGTAAAAATGAGCCTTTCACGGATCTATTGTAAATAATTCGATAAATTCCGTAATATAAGGTTATTAATTCCGGGAATATAAGCCTTTTACGGAAAAAAAGATAATATAAAAAACGGGCATCATATGATGATACGACTGATACGTGCATCATTTTTTACTTAATTTACATATAGTATCTGGTATAGTTTGTGCCATTGTAGACGTTTGTATCATGTGATCATCAATTAATTAGTGATGGGACGTTATGAAGCGCCGTACCAATAAAAAATCCAGGATCAACATTATTTTTCCCTTCATCCACAAAAAGTGAAGCTATGAATCCATTATCACTCTCCCCCGTATCATAGTCGATGTACTATATATACTGACTCTAACAATTGCCAAGAAAGCAACTCAAATAAAAGAACTTTCTAATTTGGAAACTCATATTTTGGATCATCAAAACCCGCGACTAGAAATTTCTTGAATTTTACTAAGATAAATGGGAAAAATGCAAATAAAAAAAATTCTTTAACAATATAAAGCATTTTTATGCAAAAAAATATAAATTTGCTCTAAAATAGTTATAAAAAATTTTTAAATAAAAAAAATATAATTGTAAGCTTAATTATAGAAAAATTATTGAAATAAATTCCATATTAATTTATTATTGATAAAATCCATGGGTTTCCACCTTTCAGATAAGCTATTTCACATATAATTTGGTGAGATCTTATGGTCAATTTTTTAATTCCGGTTTTTTTTTGCAACACGCTGTACTTCTATGTATTGTTATTAATTATTTTATTATATTATTTTTATAATTGTTAAATTAATTTTTTTTTTAGTGGTAAAAGGCATGATGAAAAGTTATTAAAAATTAAAAGTACCCGACAATTCAGGCGTACCATATAAAAGTGAAGTCAAAAGGCAGCAAATTGCACAGAATTAATATGTATGTTTAAATATATTGATACATTTATTAATTTAGCTGCAATATATAACAAAAAAAATGAGAACAAAAATTCATGTAAAAGAAAAACTTCATCTATAAATTCTAATGAAAAAAGATTACGGTATGATACAAATTCCCAAATATCATAACAAACAACATTTAGCAGAAACAGTATCTAATACTACTAATTTAGAAGATGTGAATAATGAAATTAGGGTTGAAAATTTGGGAAGGTCATCTACAAGCTCAATTAATAAAGAAAATGAAGTTATGTTAAATATTGAACTTGAAGAAAGAAAATTGACATTATTAGAACGTCAAGCAAAGCTTAGAAAAGAAGTGGCGGAAGCAGAAGCTATTGAATTACAAAATCGGCAGCTAAAAATAAGCATAGGTTTAACTTTATAATTATTATATTCTTAGGCATTATTAGAATGTAGTAAAGCCTAGAAATGAAACAGCAGCTTTAACCTTATAATTTTTAGCAGTTTTATAATTTTTATATTCATTGTAATTTATAATTGTAAAGTAAATATGAAAAATAACCCATGAAAAATGATATTAAAATAATGTATAAAAAAAATAATATATGAAAAGTTTCAGAATATTTTTGTACGTACTAGTACGAAATTTTTTAGCATTTGTACCCGTATGTACTGATTGATTTTAAGCACGTACGTACTAATTTAGACTAACGTACTGTACTACTTTATTTAATACCGAATTATATATACATCAAAACTATTGTACAAAATTGTAAATGTACGGCTATTCTTTAATAATAATTATTATTTGTATCAGCATTTATAGTGCTATTCTCAATTAAATTGAAAGATAAGGTCTGCAATCAAGCAATAGTGGAAAAAATTGTGAGATTGTGATATGTAGATATTTAAAATTTTTCTCAATGCATAATAAAACAGAACCAGTTTATTTTTTATAAATGAAAAAATTCAGGCGCTATTTTTTAATAAAGTGGGTCCAGATTTTTTTTTTTGTTGAAAAAATTACTGAACATTTTTAATTAAACATAATCAGATTCTAGGATTTTTTAATCCGGTTATTATATAATATGATTGAAAGAAGAATCTTTCTTGATTACTATGAACTAAGTATACAACAAATTTTTTGCTACAAATTGAGTGTACGGCGGATTTTTTCTTGTAGATTATTAAGTGTACGACAAAGGTTGCTACACGTGATCATCTAAAAGGAAATTCGCACCACATTACGACGGAGTTCGGAGAGCTATTTTTAATTACATGTTATATTTTAAGTTTTAATGAATCTTGTTAAGCGAGAAGATATCGTTCGGGGCATCGTAGAGTTGACACATATACATATACATATATCAGAACGTTATTTCCAGCAGATTTTTATACTTTTTACTTCATTTCATTTATACGATGATTAAGAAATTTTTAATAATTGTAAATTACGATGAGGTCTATACTCATAACGAATCAGCGTTCTTATCACCTTTTTTATTCTACTTTATATATCTTTCCTAAATTCCACATGCAAAAAATTCGAATTTTTTCTATGCTTCTATCGAAATAAATGATCTCTTACAGGTTTCGATGTTTCGGTAATTGAGTTGTATAGAATAGGAGAGGGATATTTGGGTATTGTTTTACAGAAATCACAGAAAAGCGAAGTTGCTAAAAGGAACTCGAGTTATCTGTTATACACAACTAGAGTATCTCTTATCTTTAAACGTCCATTACTCCAGGTTGAAATTCATTGAAACATAATTTGAACTATATTCAATTTGCCCTTTTGTGAGCATTATACAGTATGTCAATCTTTGGATTGCGTTATTCAAACTCAAATCGCTAAGTTGGTTACATTATATTACCTTACATGTCTTTCTTCCTGGACTTATTTCTTATTAATAAACCTACGTTTTTATAGTACGTGAATAAAGGTTCATCTGCATTTCTGAAACGAAATCTCCGCCACGTGACGCGTCTACTCCTAAATGGATTATCCCTACTCCCGAATCAGGCTCGCGCTCGAGTATTCAATAATTTTTCGGCAACGAATAATACGCACGGTTTTATAACAATAAATTATTTTACGCCTGACAGTATTTACGCGTAACACGAATACGTGAAAAACCAATATGGCCTGGGTTTCTTAGATTAGACGTTTTTTTCCTTGATGTTTTTTTCTTCCCCAGTATGTGATAATGCAATACTGCAGCAACACGGTTACTGTTAGTTAGTACGTATTTATCGAAGGGTAGGTCCTATTTGAGATTTGCATTACTAGTCAAATTGTATCGTAATTTGGCAGTTTGCGTCAAGATTGCCACTTAACGTTAAGTCTCACGAAAAAAAGAAGCACTACTTGATTTTGACCATCATTTTACGCAAGGGTTTTATCATCGAAAATTAAACAGTAAAATAGCGAATTTTATGATATTTAAATTTTGAATGTTTCTTAAATTTTGTCAAATAAATAAAATGATGAATGATTTTTAAAATAATCTGATAGTATGCAGATTTACAAATACAGTGGTCGGATTTAATTCAAATACGCGCTAATTGTTGTGAATTGGCTATACTAGATATTATTATTTATTTATTTATTTATTTTTTTGATATTTATGATAACGATAATATTTACATTTTACAATACAACGTATTAGTTCGGTTAGGTGATTTTTATAATTATCGTATTAAGTGCTGCATATAATAACCCTCTTAAATTGTACTGGCAACGCTTAGTACAATCATTTTACATTCAATAATCTTTTATTACTTTTAATAAAAGTTCTACGATATTTACTTTTAAGTCTTCGGTCAACTTTAATTAATAATTACGATTTATTACAAAAAATTTAATACAGGTAAAATTTCAAACTAAATACTGTATATGCACTACATGTTGTGATAATTCAATTAAAAATTAAAAATTTTACTATTCAAAATGGTTCTATCGTAATAACTATAAACAACACTTTAGTAGTAATTATCCTTCACGTTCCGTGCATTATTAATACATTCATTACACGGAGGACATCTATTATAGTACTTTATGTCATGGCAATAGTTTTTACATCTATGATATATATGACCACAACGTAATGGTTTATCACACACATATCTACACTCTTCATGCTTTGTTCGTTTAATAGGCCTAATAGGTCTATTAGGGATATTAGGAACGGTAATTGCATGTGGTCTAGAATATTCTTGACATTTAGAACATTCATTTAAACATTCATGACCACATTTCAACATTATATTACATATCTCTCTACATTTAATATTGTAATCAGGCTCAAAGCACTAAAAAGCATTAAAAATAAGCGGTTAGAAAAAAGATAAGTATAACCATGTATTACGTACGTAAAAAAAGAACTATACTTACATAAACCTCTTGATAGTGCTCGCAATAGGGTGATTTTTTTTCAACTAATACCATGCATTTAAACGTATTTTTAGCTTGCTTTTGCCAACATTTAGCATTTCGAATTATATGACGACAAGGTAACTTAACGTCTCCAACGGGAACATTACAATTAATCTTAGTATGTTCAGGATCATCTGAATGACATTTATAAATACATGGATGTCCACAAGGAAGTGATATGTTACATTTTTGACGACATCCCCCATCCGGGCTAATATGCGCAAATAGTTCAGGTTTGTCAATGATATTCTTATAATCAGGATGTTGATTACATACAATTGGCATACCAAATCCAACTTGTTCACGTTCCCGTAAAATATTAATTACAGGAGCCCACATATCTTTAGACCTCTTTGCCATTAATTCAGAATTGCCAATAAGATACATTCCTTCACGAGCACGTGACAATAGCACATTACTTCTATTTGAGCTTTTGAGAAATCCGATAGAATCACGTTCTCCAGTTCCCGAGTAATTACGAACTAATGAAACAATAACTATGTTTGCTTCTTCACCTTGAAAATTATCTACAGTTCTTAAAGTAACTGGTTGGCTTAAAGAGGTTTTTGAAGTATAATTATAGTTGTTTCTACCATCCCGTCCTTCCAATTCGGCAATGTCTTGAGCGTCTCTTCCATCAATAACAACAACGAATAATTCAGCTAAAGCGTCTCTAATTTTAACCATTTGTCCTAAATATGGAGTAAGTACTGCTATATCTTCGGGTTTATTGTATCCATTTCTAACAAAATATTTTACCATTTCAACTACCATTTTAACCTCAAATCTGTTAACATGAGATTTCATAGCAAAATCTCCTCCAATATTATCTTCCGGATTTCTATGATCAATAAAATACACGTTGTGTTGAGCTCCACATACATTTGGATATGTAGCTGTATTTTCACCATCGATTAAATCTGGATAAAGTGTATATCTAATTAGGTCAGAAATCTCTTTCTTTCTCATTCGTCTTTGAGTTAAAAGTTGAGTTTTTTCAATTTTAACTGCATTATCTCCATTAACTAATCTTTCAAATAATGATTTATCCAATTGATAATTTTTTCCCGTTGAAGAATCCATACTAAGAGAATACGTTGCAATATGAGGTCGAAGTTGATTATGATCTCCGATTAATATTAAATGTTGAGTTGAAGGAGTTAATGCGCTAAGAATATGAGCTTCTAAAACTTCACCGGCTTCTTCACAGATAATAATTTTAGGGTTAATTGACTTAATTAAATTTTGAAATTTAGCCGCACCACTCGTAGTCATACCAATAACATCCCTATTTAATAATATTATACGATTTGCTTCATCATAAATATCGTTCATTACTTGACGTTCTTTCTCATGTCTTTTTTCTAAACTTGATAATTCTTGAACAAATTTTTCATTAATTTTTGTACGCCAATAATCATGAAGTCTTTGTCTTTCTACTTTTGACATTTGCCAAATCGAATAATCATTTAATAATATGTTCAAAGAACGATTTGTTCTTGGTTCATTATAATTTTCGATCCATTGTAATGTTTCATAATCAATTTGTGAATTATCGTTAATACTTTTTGATGCTTCATTTATTGCTTCGAATTCATCAAGACTTATCCATTTTTTGTTTCTTTTTTTCTGATCATTCTCGGCTTTCTGCTGCTGCTGTTGTTTTTGTATTAATAAAATACCTTTTCTCTTGCTAATTATCCTAATATCTACTCCATATAACCATTGTTCAAATATAGATAATTTCCTACTTCGTCTATTTCGAACTGTTTGAAATTTATCATAAGACTCTTCTTCAGTTTCATCTACTTCGGGATCATTACCAATAGTTTCCATAACCCAACTAGGTAAATAAGTATCAGATTTCGTAGCGAATCTATCATAAAAATCTTTTGCTTCATTCATCAAATATCCTTGTATATCATCCCATGATACCCATTTTTTAGTTAAACTGTTTTTTATTCTATCGATATTTTTTTCTATAATATTTAATTGTACACGTGGCTTCGACTTTAATTTACTATTACGTTTATACCTCTTAGATATTTCTTCTAAATTATATTCTTTAATCCTTTCAGATTCTGTTTGAGAACCCAATCTTATTATATTCGTTATACCTACATCAAGTAGATGCTAGTGGAAAGAGAAAAGAAAATTTAATATTAATAAATATTTTTATAAGTATCAAAAATGTTATAATAATTATTAATAATTATCTATGTAATTTATGTAATTTTTACCTCTAAGAATTGGTCAAGAGCGTGATTTGTAAAACAGATTGTAAGAATAGGTCCAATTTTTGATTTTTGATTTTCTTTTGCTAATAACACTTTCATAATTTCAATACCGACTACAGTTTTACCAGTACCAGGTGGTCCTATTAATTTACAGAGAAATTTATCATTAATTTGTTTAAAAAATTTTTTTTTTTTTTTTTTTGCGTTACATACCCTCGATTAATGCAACTTCACGTGTTAAAGCGGATATCAATGCTTCAGCTACAATTGGAAATTAAAAATAAAAAAAATTACAGAAGTTAAATAAATCCTTTCTTTAACAATACGCTAAAAAAATTTACATACATATAAAAAAAGATTCGATTACCTTGAGTGTCGTCTAATATACTAGAAGCGGTAATATCTTTTGCTACTTTATCATAACTATTTCTATTTGCAACAACTAATTTTAAACTTCGTCCCTTATTTTTACATAGAACTGATAAATCAAATTGAAATCCTGGAGCTCTAGTATACATTGGCGTTTCAACTTTAATATCGCGGTTTCCTTTAAGATTAGGAGCGAAATATTTTTCAAAAGGTAAAGAAGAAGGATTCGTTGTTTGAAGAGTTTTAAGAATATGATAATAAGCTTCTAAATAAATACTTGTCGATTCTACCAAAAATCTTTTTTCTAATGATTGATCTGTTATTCTATCATAATTTGAAATTTCATTTAATGCGATAGAATAAATTGATGGATCAACAAAACTAATATCAATATCTGCACGATCATCATATTTAGCTAAAATTTTTTCATCTCTTGATGTAACAATTCCAAAGTAAATTGAATAATTATTCTCAAACCTTTTCGATGGTAACAAAAGAGCAACTAAATTACCAGTTAATAATCTTTTACTCTTTTCCCAATATTCTTTTCTTTCAAATTCATCTTTAGCTCCACGAATTTTTGGAAAAGTAAATCTCATAGTATAAGCAAGACCTTTTCTTCTATCACAAGTAATATTAATAAATTGTACATAAGTATATACTTGTAAATCACCATTATCGGTTATTCCACCATCGTAAGTAAATCTACCTCCTTCTTGTTGTATATTCTTAAATTCCGTTGAAGGCTGATCTTTTGACAATGCTTTTATGAAATTTGATATTCCACCACGTATCGGATTTAACATGTCTTCTCTTAAAAGACGAAACTGTGTATCAAGTAATCTAGCAGCCCCGTAAGGTAAAAAATGTGGTGTACCGAACACTGGAGATGGTAAAAATGGTTGACGATTACATAATATCTCACCTCTTGTAGGAAGAAGTGATATATTTCGAATTTTTACATAATCGTTATCATGTCTTACACCAACTTTTGATAATTCACCAGGTAAATCAAAAGATTTTATAATATCAAATTTACTAGATAATTCTCTAGAACGTAAATAAGAATTTGAATTAGAATTCTTTTCATTTGACGTATCTAACATTTTATTCATGCTTTCCATGTCTTTTTCTAATATCATAAAAAAATACTCTCTAGTTTCCAAATTATTAATTAATGGATCAGAAAATTGTTGTGGCCCAATTGATTGAATTGATTGTTGATATATAGTCTTTAATCTTTGTAGATCACAAACGATCTTATGCATCGTCTTATTAACAGAAGCTTCTCTGATTCGACGTAATATTTCCGTAAGCAACCGAACAATTACTAAGAAAAATGTTCCTAAGCTATTAATTTAAAAGGAGAGAGAGAATTAGCTCACATTAGGTTTTGCGCGTACATAGAATGACATAAAAGGTACTTACGAATATGGAATAAATGAATAACGATCACGTGATAATAATTCTTCCATGCTAACTTGATTATCTTTCACAGAATTACGTTGCACCAACGTTTCCAACATTTTCATCACGTTCCTATTAATAAATGAGTCCTTAATAAAAAAGCGGACATTAATAATAATAATTATTTTTTTCAAAAATCAAATAGTTTCATCGATTTTACTTACGAGATTTGCGTAGACAGCCGTAAAGATGGCGTGAACATATGTTTCCAAAATACATTCAGTAATAGCAGTTCTAGTCAATAATCCCAATAAGGGTAATATGACAAATTGGAAAGATAATACACTGTCGTTTAATCCCGCATCACATGACATTGAAAGAAAATTCATAACCTCTTTTAATCTTTTGAGACCACCTTCAGGATTACCCAATTCTTCTACCAATTCTTCTATTTCATGACCCGTACGAGAATCAGCTGTAACTAATGCTGAACTAACAAAATTTCTAGCATCATTTTGATTCCAAAAATAATTTTTCCTTACAATTTTTTTCCAAATATTTTTAAAAGGTTCCTTATAAACGATAAAAACTAATCGATCACTACCATTATATGTTAATTCAGAAGAACCAAAATTTTTAATATTAATTTCTTGTTGTAGACGCATTATTTCAATTATTTCAGGTAATGGTGTAAGATTCAAATTATTACGTTTTCCACCACCATTACCACCATTATTACCACCACCATTTTTTCCATTATTTGGATTCGCTTTTGCTTTTTTACTTTTTTTACTTTTTTTAACGGTATTGTTTACATTATTATTGTTGTTGTTGTTGTTGGAACCGGATTTTTGTCCTTTCTTTTTAGGCATGAATAAAAACAAAAAAAAGAAAAAGAAAAAGAAAAAAAAATTATTTTTTTTGCGGTGACCAAAAAAAAACGACGCCTTTTTAAAAGGATAATTTTGATCCCGACATTTTTTTTTTTTTTGTGGCAAATAACTTTTAGCCAAGAATTTTTTTTTTTAATAAAGAACCCCAATAAATCAAAGTAGTGAAACTTCTTATCACCATTTTGGGGAATAATAACAAACAAATTTAGTATTTAACACTAATATGTGAAACGGGCAGTAATAAAAGATTTTAACAAAACAAGAATTTTTTTAAAAAAAAGGAAAAAAAAAAGAAAAAGGAAAAAATGAAAAAAATATCAAAATTTTTTCGGAGATGAAAGTATACAAGGGCTGTGCTCGGAACACAACATAATTTGATTTTACCAAACATACTAAAAATGAAACTTTATGAACTTTTAAATAATTAGATTGTGTGATATGTGTGATATGGCTGATGAATACTCCTGCATCTCGGGTATCGGGATTGAATAATAAAAGAAGTAAACAGGTGTAAAAAAAAATGATTTGTTACTATATATGTCAATCCCAAATATGTCAAACAAATCTTAATTATTACTTTGTGATCGTAACCGGTAAAAATTTTATGGTCCCTTATCTGTTATCTTTGACAATCAAAGTTTAGATTCTTTTTTTTTTTTTTTTTTTTTTTTTGAAAAAAAAAAAAAAAATACATTTGTTAAAAATATTGTTGGTTTTTTTACCTTGTTTTCAGATGCAATATTGATTGTAGCACAGCAGTAGTANTTTCAAAAAAAAAAAAAAAAAAAAAAAAAATACATTTGTTAAAAATATTGTTGGTTTTTTTACCTTGTTTTCAGATGCAATATTGATTGTAGCACAGCAGTAGTAGTACGATACACTCGGCACGGATAAACATTTAATAACAATGGACACTTAATCTTAATTCTCGTTAAATTTTACCCGTATTAATTTATATAACAGATTATCTAAATATTAAAATACTGTATGGGTGATTAAAGCTATTAAAGAAATGACTAAAGAGGATCGCTCTCAGTGCCAGTAACTTTTACTAGTGTCTGTGGCTTATACAACCACCACTACTGCGCTGCACCCGCACCCACGGCTTAATCACTCAATTTCATCATTATTAGAACCAAATCCTTCATAATAATATGCTAACTTATATTGAAATAATTGTAACTATAAATTATGTTTCAAAGGATCTAAATATATAATATATATATACAATATTTTAAAAGTCGTCAGCCAAAAATATTGTTCTAGTCGTTTAAGGTGGTTTAATATTTATGTATTATGTAAAACATATGTATGGCTCGCTCATTTTAATATATTTACATGTTACATGCAGAATCAGTGCAACTAAACTATGCATGAAAAAAATCAATTATCACAAAAAGAATCTATATAAATTTTGACAAATAATACAAATAATAACACAATAACAAAATCGCATAAGTTAACAGCCACAAAATAATAAAATCACAAGTTTTACACATGTCAAAAAGATAAAGAAAAAAACTTACATTCTTTTTGATTCACGCCACAAATTATTGTAATCACTGAATTTTGTATCACGTCAGTTCTTAAACTCTATGTTATAGCCGTTATTGTCTACAAATTTAGTAAGTAGATCATTTGAATACGTACTTGTGACACATATTAGGATATTTAATAACTGTTGTTTTAAGAAAAATCCTTTTTTCATCAACTCATTTATAAATATTTTTTATTTGATATATTTATTAATAGAGTAAATTTTTATCGTATTTTGAACTTTTATCAAATATGAGTAATCAGAAATATTATAGAAAGTCTGATTTTATAAGATCTTATGATCCACCAGGAGAATTATCACAAAATGATAAAAGACATGATAATGATTTTATAAAGATTTCTGACATATCTATTATTCCTACAATAAAAGAAATGTTATGTGATCGTCCGCCCTTTTTACCTTCTTCACTTCCTGATACTCCACATTTTTTACCTGATGGAGCCGCTAAATTACTTGATACACAATTTCGTCTTTTAAGAGAAGATATGTTAAATCCAATACGTGGTGGTTTATCAAATTTCTTGAATGACTTATCACAAAATTGGTCTAAAGAATTAAAAAAAATGCAAGATGAAGGTGGTAGATATACAGGAAATGATAATAGTGATTTATATGTATATCCTTATATACAATTCGTTAATATTATTTGTGATAGAAAAAAAGGTTTTGCTTGTACTTTAAGATTTACTCCTCCAAAAATTCGTGATGCAAAAGATGAATTTGAAAGAAGAGAATATTGGGAAAAATGTAAAAGATTATTAACTGGTAATTTAGTTATACTTTTATTACCATCTAGAAGAGCTCAATTAAATAATTTTACAAATAGTGAAGGTTTATATTCAATTTATTTTGGTATAGTTGCATCAAGAGATGAAAAAATTTTAGCTAAATATGATGATCATGCTGAAATTGATATTAGTTTTATTGATTCATCAATTTATTCTATAGCATTAAATGAAATTTCGAATTATGATAGGATAATAAGAAATTCTTTGGAAAAAAGATTTTTAATAGAATCGACAAGTATTTATACAGAAGCATATTATCATATTCTTAAAACTCTTCAAACAATGAAACCTTATTCTTTACCTTTTGATAAATATTTGGCTCCTAATCTTAATGGAGAATGTAATATTGATATTAAAGTTGAAACTCCAATGTATACTAGAGCTTCAGGATTTCAATTTGATTTATCAGTTTTATGTAAATATGAAAAAATTATAAAATTAAGTGTTTCCGATACATATACTTATGATAAAGTAGCAAAGAAAATTACTGAAAATAGTGTCATTGGTAAATTACCAGATGGAACTTCATATGGATTGGACGAAACTCAAGGTAATTAATTAAAAAGAAAAGTAGGGAGAAAATTTTGAAAAAATTTATTAAAGAAAAAAAAATTTTTTTATTTTTATAGCCAAGGCGTTAATATATGCTTTAACACGTGAAATCGCATTGATTGAAGGTATGTAAAAAATACAGTTTCGTTGAATTATTTTATATAAAATAAAATAATCACGTATTCACTCTTTTTTTTTTATAGGACCACCTGGTACTGGTAAAACTGTAGTTGGTGTTCAAATAATGAAAGTATTATTGGCGAAAGGAAATCGAGGATCAAATATTGGTCCTATTCTTACCATCTGTTTTACTAATCACGCTCTCGATCAATTCTTAGAGGTAAAATTAATATAAAATTGTTTAATTGTATTTAAATATTTTTTAAATAACATTCTTACTTTTTTTCACTTTCTTTCTACTAGCACCTACTTGATGAAGGTATAACAGATATAGTGAGATTAGGTACTCGAACGAAATCTGAGAGAATCAAACAATTTAGTTTAGAAGAAGTTAGTAAAGAATATTCTTATAATAAAAAATCAATATGGATGTCACATACGAGATTAAATCAAATAGAAGAAGAAGCCAATGAAATAAAAAATATTTTACTTAAAAAATGGGTATCATGGGATGATATACGAGAATATTTGATGATTGAAGAAAGAAGATTTTATTATAAATTTAATGATATATATAATAGTAATTTACCTAATTGGGTTTCGGAAGCTATTAATAATGCTGATGAAATTGAAGAATCATCATCTCCGAATAAATTTAAAATTGTTCGAAATAAACGATATAAAAATTCATCTATATTCGAACAATGGTTAAATGGTGAGGACATTAGATTAATTAATAAGAGAAAAGAAATCTTATTAAAACAACAAAAAGAGGATGAGAAGAAGAGTAAGAAAAAGGATCAGCGTAAGAAAAACAAAAAATGGATAAGTTTTAGTGAATTTGAAGAATTAGAGAAAAAATCAAAAAGTAACGAAGAGAATTCAAATGATGATAAATCACAAATTAATTATGAAGAAATACAATGGATCAAAAATTATAATGAACCAAAAACTAATCGTCTTTTAGATTCATTAATAAATGATTATTCAATTTGGGAAATGTCAAAAGTAGAAAGACAAAGACTTCATGATCATTGGCGTACAAAAATTAATAAAAAATTTGTGGATAAATTATTAGATTTAGAAAAAAAGTATGAAGAAGAACGTCAAGTAATTAATAATCTTTATGAGGAAGGAAATCGACAAATATTATTAAGTAAGGATGTTATTGGTATGACCACAAATGGTGCAGCTAAATTTCAAGAACTAATTCGATCTATTAACCCTAAAATTATTGTCTGTGAAGAAGCCGGTGAAGTTTTAGAAGCTCATATTCTTAGTGCATTAACTCCGTCAACCCAACATTTAATATTGATTGGAGACCATAATCAACTTAGACCTCATATCGCAACTTATTCTCTTAGTATGGATTCTTCATCGGGAAAGATTTATCAATTGGATAAATCATTATTTGAAAGATTAGTTTATGGTGATAAAGCAGTTAAAATCGAAAAATCTCAACTTTTAACTCAAAGACGTATGAGAAAGAAAGAGATTTCTGACTTAATTAGATATACACTTTATCCAAAGTTAATTGATGGTGAAAATACCGCTAGATATCCAAATGTACGTGGAGCTCAACGCAACGTATATTTTATTGATCATAGTAATCCGGAAGATAATACTGGTGGGGATTTAGCAATGAAATCTCATGTGAATAGTTATGAGGTTAAAATGGTAGTTGAAATGGTAAAATATTTCGTTAGGAATGGATATACTAAACCTGAAGATATAGCCGTACTTACTCCTTATTTAGGACAAATGATTAAAATTAGGAATGCCTTATCCAATTCGTTTGTGGTTGTTATTGACGAAAGAGATGCACAAGAAATTGCTGAGATGGAGAAAAAACGAGATAGTAAAAATAAAGATAATTTGAAAGAAAAAGATAATATTGATGGTGATCAAGGTGCTACTTCAAAATCACTAAAACAACAGGTTACTTTAAGAACTGTAGATAATTTTCAAGGTGAAGAAGCAAACATAGTCATTATTTCATTAGTTCGTAATTCCTCTAAATCTGATGGATATGATTCTATCGGATTTCTCAAAAGCTCAAATAGAAGTAATGTGCTATTGTCACGTGCTCGTGAAGGAATGTATCTTATTGGCAATTCTGAATTAATGGCAAAGAGATCTAAAGATATGTGGGCTCCTGTAATTAATATTTTACGGGAACGTGAACAAGTTGGATTTGGTATGCCAATTGTATGTAATCAACATCCTGATTATAAGAATATCATTGATAAACCTGAACAATTTGCGCAAGTTAGTCCAGATGGTGGATGCCGTAGACCATGTTATACACCACTTCCTTGTGGACATGCATGTATTTATAGTTGTCATTTTGATGATCCTGATCATATTGGAATTGATTGTCCTGAACCATGTCCGAAAATTCATCCAGAATGCAATCATAAATGTTTAAAGCTTTGTTATCAAGATTGTGGAAGATGTAAACTTCGTATTGGAGATATTACACTACCTGGTTGTGGTCACGTAATTCAAAATGCTAAATGTTGGCAAAAACAAGCTATAGAGACACTCGAATGTATGGAATTGGTTATAAAAAAATCACCATATTGCGAACACTTTCAAGAGATACATGTAAGTAATACTTTTTGTAAATGTAATTCATTTTTTTTTTTGGCAATATATTTGCTAATTTTACTCTTTTGTGATTTAGTGTTTTGAGCCTGTTAGTGACATTAAATGTAAAGAGAAATGTGACAAACAATTAGAATGTGGTCATAAATGTCTAAGGGAATGTTTTGAATGCCAAAAACTTTCTGCTTCACAGGAAGAATTTGATGCAGCTGCTCTTATTGAACGAACACAACATGGAGAATGTATAAATTTTTGTAATAGATCGTTAAGCTGCAAACATAAATGTACAAATTTCTGTCATAAAGGATTTAAATGTCCATCGTGTGTGATGTGTGCTCAAATATAAGTTATATATATAAAATTTCGATTTAAATTATAATAAATATATAATTATATATATATATTATTCATCTATTTTCGTATATGTGTTATTGTCTCTTTACACCCTATTGTGTATAATAATATATTACGATATTAAAATGCACAAAACAATTAGAAATAAACAAAGAAAAATTAAAAACAAATATTGCTACCTCGGTATGACCTACAAAATTTACAAAATTTTTAGTTACTATCACCTCATACCATTTGAGGTTTACCACCCTGTAATTATGCCTAAGCACCCAGGACACCTATGTAGGATCTTTGGTAAATTGTCTCATATAGTATTAAATAACAACAACTAAGTAAGTGCATAACATAGAAATATGTGTCACTTCCACGGGCCTCCCATATGAATCAGCTTGTAGGATCCATCCGGCGAACTATTTATATACATACCTCTTTAATAATTTACTAAAGAGTCTGATCTTCCATAATCGTCATTTGTGGCATTCGTTAAATTAAAAAACAAAACAAAATGGGCGCTTTTTTGACGATCTTTGTACAGTATAATTATTTTACAGTAACAAAAATTAAATATCGCCATTTGAGACTTAAATAGAAATTCAACCCCAAAAATTATATAATTTTATTAATATCTCAAAAGAACAAAGAAGTCACAAGAATTACTCTCAACTAAATGTAATCATCAAATCGAGTCAGTTTTAGCTACTAGCCTTTTTTAAAAAAAAATCCCACGCGCACATTTTTCTAATTCACTTGATAAATTTCGATGATCATTTTACGCCTCATATTTGACACCTACCCAATATGGTAAAACCTTGTTTTTAATTTTGATCTGCTAATGTTTCGCTAGACGAAAATTTTCATTTATCATCACATTTAATTTCCAATTTACGATATTAAAATTTTTAATATTAAAATTAATATAATTAATATTAAAGTAACAAAATTTTTTAGATACTATAGTATACTGTAATTGAATTTAAGTAACCATATAAATGAAATAACAATTTGAGGATAAATTTTTCTGTTTAAACTTTTAACATGTGATTTCCTACATTTCATAGTAAATAAATTAACCAAATATGTAATTTTCCGAAAAATTATTCAATTATAAAATGCATGATAAAATCCTTATCATGCATACATCAGATGACGGCTGGCTTAGTAATGCTGGCCAAAACATTTAGAGTGTTATAATATCGAATCAAATCTCAAATTGGTGATTAGTTGTACCACATATATTTGTACAAATGCATCTCAGGTTTTTAAGATCTGCGATAACCGTGTCAATTAGAAAAGAAAAATCTTTTTTGCATTGATACAATATCAATTATATTTATTGAATTATTCATATTGTTCTCATATCTATATATAAAAAAAAGCAAATCACTTTTTATCAGTCGTTCCTTTTTTTCGTTTTTTTTTAAAAAAATATATATAAAATAAATAAAATAACGGAAATTTTTTTATTAACTAGTCATGAATAACAATGGTACTCAAAGTAATGGCGGTGGCAGTGGCGGTGGTAGAAGAAATAGAAATGTAGAACTTCGTACAAGGCAAAACCATGATCATAATCGCCCAAATGAACCACCAGCACCAAGACTTAGTGCTCATGAGATAAGACAATCACAACAAGAAACTACTATATCAAATTTTAGTTCTTCTGAATTAACTTATAATGGTAGTGATAAATTAGTTTTTATTACTAATGGAGAACCGATTAAAACTATTTGGAAAAGAATATTGAAAAAAAACAAACCTTTGGATCCAAAAGATATTAAAATGTTTATTGGTTCTGCATTAGTAGCATCTGATAATAAGATAGGTTATGAAGTAGAAGAAATTATAACTGAATTAGGTGATCCTGAGAGTGGTGTCAAGAAATTAAGAGAAATTATGAATTTTCCTTCAATGTCATGTGATGCGGGTCTTGATAGTGGTGTGTTATCTTTTCAACATGTTATATTACCTTTATTGGGTTTATTCACCAGAACGGCTATCACTGAATGTATTTTGGAAAAATATGTTCTTGCAATCTTTACCGTCGTCTATGAAAATCTTGTAAGTATTATTTATTAATGACGTTATTCTTCTCCTCATTTAATTACTGTTAATAATGTTATTTATTAAATAATTAGGACTCATTTCTTTATAATAATGTAATGAAAATGTTGGAAACGTTGGTACAACGTAATAGTGTTTGTGATTCTCGTGTTAGCGAAGATGTATTATTGTCGCGTGAACGTTATACATTTATCCCGTCTTCGTAAGTACTATTTTTTTTTTGACTCGTTATGATGCAAGACGTCTCTCATGATAATTAATAAAATATATTTAATAGTTTAGGAATATTTTTTTTGGTAATCGTACGACTTCTTACAGAATTATTACGTCGTATCAATGATTCATCAATTAATGAGACGATGCATTATATTGCATATGATTTATATCGATTAAAAACTATGTATCAAGAATCGATTGAACAACAACAATTTGCTCCAACAGATCCATTAACTAATAATTTGGGTACTAGAAAATTTTTTTTCATGATATTAGAAAAAGAGATGAAAACTATGGATAAAATGTTAAATAATGGACGTAATAATTTAATGTTTGATCAAAATCCTGAAGCGAAAAAAATAAATGTAAAATTAGATCATTTATACTATAAAGAATTAGCTAGAAGAGTTGACGCTGAAAGAACTTATGATCCACCTGGTGAATTATCAAAATATGGTAAAAGGCACGATAATGATTTTTCAGAAATTTCAAAAATTTCAATTATTCCTACGAATGAAGAAATTTTATGTGAACGTTCACCTTTTTTACCTACTTCACATCGTTATTCATTACATTTTTTACCTGATGGATCGGCTAGATTACTTGATACACAATTTCGCCTATTAAGAGAAGATTTATTAAATCCAATTCGTGGTGGTTTATCAAATTTATTAACTGCATTATTACAAGAACATTCTTCTTCTAATGATAATGTTATTAAATTATCAAAAGAATTAAAGAAAGTACGGGATTGGGGTGGTAGATTTTCTTATAATGATGGTACGAATGAAAACAGCGATTTACAAGTATATACGAATATACGATTTTCTAATATTACTTGTGATAAAAGAAAAGGTTTTGCTTGTACTATAAGATTTACTCCTCCAAAAATTAGCGCAAAAAATGCAAGAGGTAGAAGAGAATTTTGGGAAAGAAGTAAAAGATTATTAAATGGTAGTTTAGTTGCTGTTATATTACCTAATCCAAATCCTCAAGAAAAGAATTCAAGTAGTAATTCTTCTATAAGTAATTCTGATTTATATTTACTTAATTTTGGTGTAGTAGTAACGAGAGATGAAAGAGCTTTATCAAAAGATGAAAATTTTGCGGAGATTGATATCAATTTTATTGATCCATCAATTTATTCTATCGTGTTAAGTGAGATCTCAAATTTTGATAAAACTAATAAAAAAACATCATCAAAAAATAGATTTATGGTAGAATCAACTGGTGTTTATTTAGAATCTTATTATCATATTCTTAAAACTCTTCAAACTACAAATCCTTCTTCGTTACCTTTTGAAAAATATTTGGCTCCTAATTTTAATGATTTAAATGTTAATAATGGCGATGATACAAAAGGAAAAATGAGAGAAGAAATGAGGGAAGAAATGAAGAAAGAAATGAGTAATATTTATGATGTGAAAGTTGAAAATCCTTTGTACACTAGAGCACCAGGATTTCAATTCGATTTATCAATTTTATGTAAAAATCAACATAATTTGCAATTAAATGTCGCTGATGAGAGTACTCACGATGAAGTGGTAAAAGATATCGTTAAATATAGTAATATCGGTAAATTACCTGATGGATCTCCTTATGGATTAGACGAAACTCAAGGTAATTATAACAAGTACTGTATTATAGAGTTGAGAATTAACTTTTGTCTTTAATTTTAATTAAAAGCCAAGGCGTTGATATCTTCTCTAACGCGTGAAATTGCACTAGTTGAGGGTACGTATGACGTAGTATATTTTATTATTTTGAACGGGATCTAAAAAAAACAACGGCTTTATTTTTATAGGACCACCTGGTACGGGTAAAACTGTAATTGGAGTTCAATTAATGAAAGTATTATTAGCTGAAGAAAATCGAAAAACAAATATTGGTCCAATTCTAACCATTTGTTTTACCAATCATGCTCTTGATCAATTCCTGGAGGTAAATTTTAATTACTTGTTATATTTATAAAATTCAAAAAAAAAATATTTTTTAGCATTCACTTTCAAACTTTTTTCCAGTATTTACTTGATGAAAATATAACAAATATAGTAAGATTAGGATCTCGATCAAAATCAGAAAGGATCAAAAAATATAGTTTAGATGAAGTTTGTAGAGATCGTGTTCGTACCAGAAAAGAAGCTTATCTGTTAGCAAAATTATATGAAGAGATTGAAAAGATAGAAGGTGATGCTGAAAAAATAAGTCGTTTTTTAATTAGGAAATCGATGGGATGGAATGAAATAAGTGATTATTTAAAGGAACATCAAACGGAATTTTTTAATAAGTTCAATAATGTATCTGAACAAGATTTACCAAGTTGGGTTTTAAATATTAATGGAGAAGAAGGATTTCAGATTTTTAAGAAAAAATACCCATTTGATGAATGGTTAAAAGGATCGGACATTACAACAATTAATAAAAGAAAAAAACTTGTGTTAAATCCACCAAAGAGTAGTAAGAAAAAAGACAAGATAGGAACAAATCAAAATATATATGAATTATTAAATAAAGAAGAGACCAAAAATGAAACGGGTACAAGCAGTAATGAATCACAAATTGAAGATGATACGATAAATTGGATTAAAAATTATAATGAACCAATGACAGATCGGCCTTTGGAAGAAATATCAAATGATCATTCAATTTGGAGAATGTCGGTAGTAGAAAGAAAAAAACTTCATGACCATTGGCGTACAAATATTTATAAAGGAAATGTTGAAAAATTGTCAGAATTACGAAAACATAATGAAGTAAAACGTAAAGAAGTAAATAATATTTATGATGAAGGACGTCGTCAAGTATTATTAAGTAGTGATGTTATCGGTGTGACTACAAATAGTGCAGCTAAATTTCATAATATAATTAGATCAATTGGTCCCAGAATTATCATTTGTGAAGAGGCAGGAGAAGTATTGGAGGCTCACATTCTTTGTTCATTAACCCCATCGACTCAACATTTGATATTAATTGGCGATCATAATCAACTTCGACCTCATATTGCAACCTATTCTCTTAGTATGGATTCAACAGCGGGAAAGAATTATCAATTGGATAAATCATTATTTGAAAGATTAGTTTATGGTGATAAAGCAGTTAAAATCGAGAAAGCCCAACTTTTAATTCAGAGACGTATGAGAAGAGAAGTTTCTGATTTAATTAGAAATACACTTTATCCAAATTTAATTGATGGTGACAATACTACAAAATATGAGAATGTACGTGGAGCTCAACACAACGTTTATTTTATCGATCATAGAAATCCAGAAGATAGTACAGGTGGGGAGTATGCAATAAAATCACATGTAAACAGATACGAGATTAAAATGGTTGTTGAGATGGTAAAATATTTCGTTAGGAATGGATATACTAAACCCGATGATATAGCCGTAATTACTCCTTATTTAGGACAAATGATTAAAATTAGAGATGCTTTAGCTAAATCATTTGTTGTTGTTATTGATGAAAGAGATGAACAGAATATTACTGAAATGGAAGAACGACAAGAACAAGGTGGTACAAATAATAATATAAATGATGATGGTATAAGCGATACATCAAAAAAATCCTTAAATCAACAAGTTACTTTAAGAACTGTCGATAATTTTCAAGGTGAAGAAGCAAATATTATTATTGTTTCGTTAGTTCGTAATTTCTCTAATTTACCAAGTGGATATGATTCTATTGGATTTCTCAAAAGTACTAATAGAAGCAACGTATTATTGTCGCGTGCTCGTAAAGGAATGTATCTCATTGGTAATTCTGATTTAATGGCAATGAAATCTAAAGATATGTGGGCTCCGGTAATTAGTATTTTACATGAACGCAATCAAGTTGGTTTTGGTATGCCAATTGTATGCAACAACCATCCAGATTACAAGAATATTATCGTTGAGCCTGATCAATTTGAAAAAGTTAGTCCAGATGGTGGATGCAACGAAAATTGTAACACACCACTTCCTTGTGGACACATATGTAAGTTTAAATGTCATATAGATAATCCTGAACACATTGGGATCAAATGTAATGAGCGTTGTTTAAAAATAAATCCAGAGTGTAATCATCAATGTCAAAAGCGTTGTTTTGAAAATTGTGGAGGTTGTGAATTTCTTGTCGGAAATATCATATTACCTGGTTGTGGTCATGAATTAAAAAATGCTAAATGTTGGCAAGATCGAGCTAAAGATTCAATTAAATGCAAAATCTTAGTTCCTAAGAAATTACTACATTGTGAACACTATCAAAATATTTACGTGAGTATTTTTTTTATTTATACATGTAGTGTCGTTATTTTTGATATACTTTGTATATATTAACTATAATATTATATATAGTGTTCTGACCCTATTAGTACTAATGAAAAATGTATAGAAAAATGCAGAAAACAATTGGAATGTGGCCATGAATGTTTAAGTGAATGTGGTAAATGTCAAAATCGATCTAAGCAAGAAGGAACAGATACAACTGACCCCATTGAACGAACACAGCATGGAAAATGTCAAACTGTATGCGATAAATTATTATTTTGTGGACATAAATGTAAAAGCCATTGTCATAAAGGAAAAGAATGTCCACCATGTAAGGATGATTGTACAGTAATATGTGAGCATGCATCATGTAATAAGCGTTGTTTAGAACCTTGTGCTGTATGTGCAGAAAAATGTTCATGGGAATGTGAACATCAAGGAAAATGTGAATTAAGTTGTGGATTTCCTTGTTATAGATTACCTTGTAATGAAAGATGTGATAAAATATTAGAATGTGGACATAACTGTGCCGGAGTTTGTGGTGAGATTTGTCCTTCAAAAGACTTTTGTGTTGATTGTGCCCCTGAAGTAGTTAAAAATCAAGGTAAGTACATCAAGTTATCTCGGAAAATTTCAATTTTTTTATATTAAAATATTTTTCTTTTAAAAAAGTGTCAGATATAAATTCCAAAAGTACGTTTAGTGAAATAGATTGGAATGAAAAAAGAATGGTTGTTCTTACTTGTAGGCATGTATATACTATGGAAACTATGGATATGATTATGGAAATGAAGAATTATTACGAAGGTTCAATTAAAGAAGGATGGAAATCAGTTAAAATACTTCCAGCTTTACTAATGAATGCGAAGACGTGTCCAACATGTAGAACACCAATTAAAAATGTCAAGAGATATGGACGAATTATTAATAAATACACATTAGATATGCAAAACAAAAAATTCTTATTAAAATATGATTCCCACTTAAAAGAAATCATCATGCAAATTATTACACTTAGAGATGAAATGATCGTTAAGAGAAATATATTAAAAAATGCTTTACCAAAACACGAATCAAGACCAATGAGAGTTGTACTTGAAGTACGTAACAAAGTTGTAAACAAAAAATTGCCTGAAATTATATCTCATACATATTTTGAGAATATTGGAATGTATCATGGATTTGATAGACAAAGCAAAAAAGCTTGGGTTGCTCATGTTAACAAATTATTAGTAAATTATCAGAAATTAGTTTTAATTGCTGAAGCTACAAATTTTCCACCACATAAAAAAGCCTTTGATGCTGTTTTAAGTTTGTAAGTATAATGCAAGTGAATTTTTTTTTTAAAAAAAGATTTCATTTTCATCTTAATTTAAATTTACAAAATTATTTCTAGATATCGAGATAATACTTTAAGTTCCATTTCTTCCGAAACTTTTCAGGAAATGCTTTCACGAGTAGGAACTTCAATACCTCAAGTTGATCGAAGAATTTATTTAGATGCGTTTTTTGAAATTGTAAATGTACAAAAAATTTTACATCGTGAAATTTTATTCATAATTCAAGAATTATCAAAAGAATCAACACCCACTGCTACAGTTATTGAAAATACCTTAAGTATTAAAGAAGTTTGGAAGAAATTTATCGAAAGATTACAACTTTCTATTAACAATCATTTAAATACAATAGGAGAAATAGCAGAATCCACTCATTATGGTAGACATTTACTTTTGGTTAATGTTGAAATATTAGAATTTGATCTTATATTATTCACATATCAGTTAAGATTCTCACCTAATGAAAGTACCGATATTGATGATACTAAATCACTTCAAGAAAGAATTACAGAAAAATGCGAGGATATTAAAAAACGTATTGTAAATATAATTGAAAGTCAGAGATATAAAAATTCTGAAGAGGAATTTAAGAGTGATATTCACGCGAGACTAGTAAATTTATTAGAAAATTGTAATGATATTGAAAATTGGGACGTGAATTCAAGTGACACTTTAAATATTGAAGAATTATTAGAAATTCATCAAGCTACAAAAACTGAATTTAAAAGTTCAGGTACGTGTCGAATTTACTTTATAATAAGTTAGTAATGTTAATAATAAATTAATTAATATCGTCGTCTTCATTATTTTCTATTTATTAGAACATTGGTATGAGTGTCCAAATGGTCACCCAGTAAGTAATTTTAATGATACGTTATTACAGACCCCGAGCTATACATAGAAAGGTCAGGTCCTGGTTATTTGCGCCATAATAATAATCATGTAGATCGTTTCCATTTGTGGCTAATGCTGACCAGCATTATATAGTGCCGGCCCTGAAGAAATAATAGTAAATGTGTGCCGCCCTGACCTATATATACATAACTCGGGGTCCTGTTACATATGTTTAACATGTATAGTTTGTTTATATAATTGACATTTCAATTTTTTTTAGTATACGATTGAAGAATGTGATGGAGCTATGCAAATGAATAAATGTCCTGATTGCAATGAGCAAATTGGTGGAGAAGGTCATCAGTTAGTTAATTAAATTCAGAATTTTGTTTTACGTAACGGCCGATTTGTACAATGTAATGTTATTTATTTATTTATATAATATTCTTTTATTTTATACAAACGAATTAAATAAATGATTTTACTTATTTTGTTATTGCTGTATTCCTATAAATTATGATAAAACCTTGTGATAAAAAATAATTAATAACGTGAATGATTTGAAGCTTCGAAACAGTTGATTAATCACATCGTTATTAATTAGTCTTGTCTTAAATTCTTAATACAATATACGGTATTTGTAAATTTCTAATAATTAATATTTTTTATAAAATTATTTTTAACAATGATAATATTTAATTATAAACTTTACAGTGAAAATTTCTCCAAAGTCCTCAAATTTATTAATTTAACTTTTGTCATTCAAATGTCAAACTCAAATAAACGTTCATTTAAAGATAAAGTACTAAGATCGTTAAAAAATACGATTTAAAAGGCTGTCCGAGGTCAAATTGTAAATTATCTTTACGTAAAATTAACGTAATATACGTTCATTCATTAATCGTTATAATTATCATGTTTTTGGACAGATATCCGTGTACCGAGGTGGGGTGGAATTGAGAAGAAAATAAATCGTTAGGTTTTTGATTTATTTTGTCTTTATTGAATATTTTTCTTTTTATATTTATCACATACTTATTTATCCATTCTATCATAATATTTATTGTTTTTTCCAGATATTGTTGTATCAGTTCTTTACGCTTAAAATTATTAAGCAATTTATATGGTTAGGTAGCAGAAGGTTTATGTAGTGTATAGACAAACAATATATCAAAATTTATCCGATCAGACGTGTTGTATAGCGCTGTACGTCGGCATATACTTCCAAACACAAATAAAGGATTTCACTTGATAAAAACTGTCACTTTATAACTTAAAAATGAAAACTTTATTTATTCCCTTAACATTACAACAAGAAAATTGACCTATATTTATAATTAATTACACATATACTAATAAATTTAACATATTCAATATATTTACTATGTATAATATGACTAACATGTTCAATATGTTGATCATGTTCAACATGTTAGTTAGGTTCGTCATGTTCGGCATATTAATTATGTTCGACATGTTAATCATGTTAAACATTTGCAACATCGATCAATTCCGGAGTGGCACATGATGATCACATGACAATATGATAACCTAGCTTAGAATATAAATCTATAAAATTAAAAATTACTCGGTGTGATTTTATTACTCATATCAGTCATATGAATAAGCTTTTTCAATATAATTTACATCGAATCGTTCTATAAAAAAAATTTAATATTAAACAATGCAATAAATAATGTTTGGATAAAAGTGCGCAATTTTACCTAATGATCATTGCGCTGAATTATCAATACATTGATCTATGCCAATTTAATTTCCTGATGTCAAAAATGAAAATTTGATATACTGTCAAAACATCACTGGTAAGTGTCTCCTAATGGTTTACCTCTCGAACAAGAAATTTTGTAATGATAACTAACTTATTTTATTTCTTATTCGTTTCACTTTAACAGACGCGCCCAAGTCAAGGGAATATCAAGACAAGTTATAAAGCTATTGTCTTTTAACTTTCGTGTTAATGTACAGTCGCGTCCGAAAGTGTTGCCCGATTACTTACAGATGAAGGCCATAATTATTAAGTCACTATGATCATCTCGGCATCCAGTGATCAGAATTCGACAAACAAAGGCTCATTGGATTCTGATCACTGGATGCCAAGATAATCACAGGTTTCCAGATGATTATATCTTTTATCTTTAGGCCAAAAATAAGCTAAAATTAAATAAAATTGCAACTACTAATTTTCCAACAAATTTATTTGNAAATTTCACGAAATTGGGAATATCTCACTATCCAGTGATTCTATTCTGACAAACAAAGACTCATTGGATTTGTCTCATTGATACACGTCGAATGGTGGCCAGTTCATACATGTAGCATCATTATATCTCAGGATAAAGGCCAAACCATCAAAAAAATGTTTTAAGGTACACCTTAGTATCTATTAACCCTAGAGATATGAGACATTCACCATTCAACTCATCTTGACGAGACGAATCCAATGAGCCTTTGTTCATCGAATTCTGATCACTGGATGCCAAGATAATCACAGGTTTCCAGATGATTATATCCTTTATCTTTAGGCCAAAAATAAGCTAAAATTAAATAAAATTGCAACTACTAATTTTCCAACAAATTTATTTGGTTTAAACCAAGTAGAGAACATTTAAAAATGAACCAATATATTATCCAGAAGTGTGTCCCTCTCCCAAGAGCTGTAGGCGAATTTAAAGCTATATTAAAGAAAAAATAAAAATTTAAATAGTTCTGTTTTTGAGAAGGTTGCCACCCTGGCATTATGAAAATTTGATTTAGTATGAGAAACAAACTAGGTATGAATATTTTACTAATGTATACACTAGTGAAAAAATACAGATATTTTTGCTTTTGTCTTCATTTTCAAATCGGGCGTCACTTTCGGACGCGACTGTACATTTGATTCATGTTATTTTCCTACTTTGCATTGAATAGGAGATCTTGGAAGAACAAATATGAAAAGAAAGGAAGATGGTTTATAAATGTAAATATGTTATTACACACTTGAAGATTGTTCATATAACAACCGACTTAAACCCACATTTTTTGTCCAATAGTTAACTCGTCCCAAACTCGATATAAATGCTGTCCAGGCAGCCGTTCCAATGAAATATAAGGGGTTTTTGTGGGATTCTGCGCAGTACTATTCCAATCGTATTACCGCCGGTACTTTTTTGAGCGACATATTTCATGGCCGCAGCTTCGCTAGAAAATTTCGATGCAGGGTGAGTTAGTTCGCGTGAGAGTCGGGCGATGCAATCCAATCCAGTTTCGAATTGTAGAGCACCAGATGTTGCTTTTATACCTGAAGATATTTTCCTTTCACTTGACGAAAAACAACTTTGGTCCTTTGAAGGTCAACCCTTCACTAGTTGAGCTTGAGGTGCGGGCTAAAATCTTTGGTTGGAAGCTTGACGAAGAATCGGATTACTATCTCTCCAATCTCGAACCGGTTTGCTTCCTGCATTGTTCAAATATTTCTCTCTCGATTGTGATGAGATTGGTGATTGTTTGTTGCTTATTTTTCCTTTTAATAAAAAATACAAATATCCAGTCAAGTTAGTTATATATATTCGTTTATTTATATGAAATCAGCTACAAAGCAATGCATGATAAACCATAGTAAACTATTGATAATACAGCAAGTAAAAAAAAAAAGTATAGTGTAAAATAGGGAGCATAAAATGTTAAACCAAATAAAACTCCTGTCACTTCTGTTCCCTCCTTTCCTATCAACTGCGGTATCTGAATTTTGGACATCTTTAGCCAAAGGCAACTCGTTTTCTGTCTACGCTATAATAAGCAACTCGTATTCTGTCTTTCGACTGCGGTATCCGAGTTAGACTGCGGTCTCCGAGCTCAAATCTGTCCAAGACAATTCATATTCTGCTGATAGGTCTGGCTGGTCACTTCTGTTTCAGTGGAGTAAGATCTTTGGTAATGACTATGCTGCTCCCCTATTGCACCTATGACTTTACCATCTGTGAGGACCATTATAGCACCCAAGGGTACCCCAATGGTATCATAGAGTGACCACCAGGACAAGAACTCACCCAGTTGGTATATGCAGTAACGAAAACTATCTAGCACCCACTCAGGGTATCAGATAGAATTCTACACACAGTGACCATCCTGACAGGACTATGAACCTCCCAAAGCCGCCTGCAGGAACGGTGGGGGCCCTTGTAATGATCATTAATTTTCTATTTGGTTTGATCATCAGAAAATTTTGCATGATTTCATACAAATTTAATGTTTATAACCTCCTTGCTGAACTTCTCAAGTGTAAATATTTTTTACACTTATTGTATATTCATCATAGTATAAAACTCAGAATATTATGAAATAAATTTGATCATAACAAAAAAAATATTCTCAAATTATAATTCCACAAAAAATCCATACCTCATTTTTTCAAGAAGGAAAATAAAAGAGTACAATAAATATGATATTTTACATAAAATATAAAGTGTAAGATATAAAACAAGAAACCATTCTTGTTTTAACTTTTCAATAAAGAAAAGTGTAAAATATTTCTTACAATATTATATATTCATCATAGTATAAAACTCAGAGTATTATGTAAAATATGAATATCATAGTTTTCAAATCATGATTCCAAAAATTCTAATAAATATCCATGGTATGGTGTAAATTCATTAACTGCGTGTGGATAACTAGTTTGTAAACCCAATGAACAGTTTCAGAAGTATAAAAACTTTAGCTCACCACTCTATAGCTTCCCTCTACCATATGAGTGATCTAATGTCTCTTCTGCATCTTCTTAATAGATTTGGCAATATCTATAAAATAGATAAAGGTGAAATGAGCTTTAGGTCCATCAAACACTCACGTGCAATGTCTCTGTTTTATAGACGGTCTCGTTAAAACTGAACCACTTGTTGTATATGGTAGACAAAGCTAAGTTCGTCTTATAAAGCCCCCAACCTATACTACAATACCAACCGCCTTAAGTGCTCTTTGATACTGACCTATAAGTTTTCTGGGTGTCGCTAAAAAGAACTTAAAAGACTAGTTCATGTACATGTTCACGCTGTCTAAGTATACTACCAGGGAACACAAAAGATACGTGAGCTACTTTAAAAATTCTTTACGTTTTTTGTTTTTTGTTTGTTTAGAAATAGATAAACTTAGGGAATATTAAAATATGCAACAGCGAAAAGAAAAAGTGTATTTGTATACCTCGCGTTTTTCATTTTCGCGTAAGTAATAGTTTTTTTTGCAGTTATTTTAGTTTTTATCTATTTTGTCTAATTATACTTTATTCTCCGCAAATGCAAGAAACTTTTTTTTTCCGAATATGGATTACGTGAACAAATTTAATTAGTCGTACTACTATCACGTCAAAGTAAAATCAGTTTTCATGTGTAGTTGATGCTGCGGTTGATAGTTATCAAATCATTCAAAAACACTAATATGCATTGGATTTCCGAAATTAACATTCCAAAAAAAATAAAGTTATAATAAACTGTCATAGAGAACCTATAAGATTTGGATACTTCGCTTTTTTGTGTTGAAAAAAAAAAAAAAAAAAAAATTTTGTAAAATTAAAAAATAGATTTCTTGGCATGTTATTCAATCCGATCGTATTGTAATTGTTTTTAAATCTCAGTTTCATCACGAGTTTGTATCATGCTGTATATCACTTAGATCTATAAAAAAAAAAGTTGGTCTTTATATTGCAGTGTATTGTATAAAAAATAGAATAGTTTTACTTGATTCTATAAAGATTATAATTTCATAAAAATCTGCAGCAAATATTCAAAAAAATAAAACTATTTCCATAAAACAAATAAAAATGTAAGGGTTTTCGTTTTGATTTATTTGAGTCATTTAACCTACAAAACCTACGAAGAATTTTTTAAGACGTGTGCGATCACGTGATGTGATTGCCAATCTACCGATGGAGTCAAATTTTTTATCACCCAGAAAATTTATTTACTAAGATTACAATATATCAGCTGAGAGCGGGAAAAACTATAGACTAGAAATATTTTTATAAAAATCGAAATATACTAAACTGTAAAATTGTAGTCATATTTAACTGATGGAAAAAAAATATTTTTTATATTATGTTTTATCAGGATATGTATTAAATATTATTGGGAATTTTTTGTCCAAATGAATACCGATTGTTGTATAAGCCCCACAATATTTAAATCCCTAATATATACCAAATTTTGTTGAACGAATTTAGATAAATGTTGATGAGTCACAATTAGAGATCTAGATTTCCACCGATCTATAGATGAAAATTCTTTATAATCATGATTATAGATAGATAATGACCTATGACTCATTAATAAAAACTGATATTTTACCAATTGATTTTATTGTGAATTGGTTGCTACAGATAACAGACAATTCCAGAAAATTTTACTCTATATTTTATTTTTTGTTTATCACCAATTGATACAAAATACTTCAATCACTACTGGTTTGATAGTATTATTTACAGTAAATTCCAATAAATAATCCACAATTATATCATTAAGCTAACTCATATTACTAGTTTAGGATAAATAATTATAATTAATTGATGTAATAGATGTGATTCATACATAATCTAGATTTTTTTTTTATGAATCATAATAAGTTACTCTATTTTATTATTAGTCACTATGGAATTTCAAAAGGTTTTGAAAAATATATATATACCCTTAAACTTTTTCAAAGAAAAAATAAAATTCAAACTTCAAATCAAATTTACTTTTTCAAGCAACAAATTTTCAAATCAAATTTTTCAAATTTACTTTCAAGTCAAGCAACAAATTTTCTTTAAATTTTAAATTTCTTCTAAAATCTAATAATACAAAATGTCTTTTCAAATGTGTCCAAATTTCATTAATACTCCTTTTAATAACATTCCTATTGACAAATGCTTTCCTTCTCATCTCCAAACTGGAACATTTCAATACTTGCCATTTTTCATTACTTACTTATACATTCTTTTTTTTTTTTTAATTATATATACAAACCTTCTCAATCATATACTTGTTTTAATCTTTACTTTGACAAAATATATAATTCAAATATTCTTTTACCTTTTCCTAAATTTCTCTTTCTCAAATCTTTCTCTTCTCCTCCTATTAAATCTCTCTCTTTTTAAATCCTTTCTTATTTCAAATTTTTCATATTATACTTTATCAATTTTTCTTTTATTTCTTGATTTTATTCTTTATTTTCTTGATTTTCTTTATGAGTTTACTCATTTTACAATATTATTTCTTTTATCTTTACTTTCTTTTTACAAACATAACATTGAATTATTAGTTAATTTAAAAAATACCCTTAATTCCCAATAGTTTAGACATTATTATTTAATTAAATGATTTTATATTACGTAGCTAGGTCCATTGCTTACCAAATATAGCATGGAGACGTAATCTTTACCCTTTGGTCAACTCAGGAATACTTGGCCATTCTTAGATAGATAATTTTTATAAGGGGATCGTTTGCATCGCCCATGAAGCATTGCACTGTGCTGATTGGTGTCAGAGAGGTCCTTTGTCTTGTAAAATTTACCTTTCTTGATCATTTGATCTATCTCATGTGATTTCATTTTTCACATGTGATACCCTTTATTTTGTTCCTTTGTTGAGTTCTTTCCTTAATAACTTATCAACTCAACAATAATCCATCACCGTTGGTTCCACAATTTCTGTGTCCAAGTTCAATTCTTGGAGGTGATTTTCTTACTAATTAGTTTATCTCTTTTTTTTCAGTTTGAATTTTTCGGTCATTGAGTCAGGATTGTCATTAGATTATGAAATTGAAGAAGTTGCGTGCGTAATTCATCATGTTTTTCTGAAAGTTCTGGTATATCTTTACATTAAGCATGCGAAATCTCTCCCTGATTTGCATTTTGACCTTCATGCAGTAATCAAAAATGGAAGTTTTGTGATATATTTGTAATGAAATAGGGGATAACTACTTATATATCAGTTTTCGTGAAATCGCAATTGCCTCGATTTTGTAGATCTATTTCAGTTGCAAATCAGGGCATAAAACGTGTGGCTGTCTGATTTTTTACAAATACCTGCCACCTTTCGATCAGCATCCAGTCTATATCTTCGTAGGGTCTTTGAAATGAACTGCACCACAAACAAGAAGTGGTCGATAGAACATCAACGTATTTCTTCAACAGAGAGTAATACCGCAAAGGATAGATAGTGTTAGCTTCGATAGAGGTGATGTATATGGTTTTTCTCTTATCTCGAAATATATTATGTTACATATTTTATAAATTATAAAGTTATGAAATTTTGTTAATAAAAATATAAGAATAATAAATAAATGCATACACTAATTATCACGGTCTACAAAAATTTTTTGTTTTTTTAAACATATCCATATAAATAGGCACATCTGGATTTTTCATGTCCATAATTTGAATTGTGTAACATGAAACGTGTGATGTATCTGCGCTTGATCTATTCCGCAAATTATCCGTTGTACCAACATTAAATGTTTGGCAATCATACCTTGAATTGAAAAATTGGGGCGTATTTTTAGTATTTTTATGGAATATTTTTATAGATGAAGCTAAATTATTTAAATGGAAGTCACTTTCCATTCTTGAATTAAAATTTTTCTCTTTTCGTAACTGGTAGCGAAGTTTTTTTTAAATCCAAAAAAAAAAAATTCCTAAATGTTGGTGGTCGCCATCCCGGGAGGTGGAGGCGGAGGTGTTTTGCTGCTACATTAAACAATAATGTAAATAAAAATCAATTTCTGGGGTTATTTACATAAGTCAATATAATTAACTGGTTAAGGTTTAGCTTCATAAGCAGTGAACATTTCGTAATTTATATAAGCGCGCTGTAAAGACAATCGGTTATTTTAAATATCTTGAAATCAAATAAAGTTGCTAAATATATTTTAAAGTAACTTACGCTTCAGAATTCATCTGAGAGCTCGTCAACCACCACAAGTCTTCGCATTGTTTGAGAATCTATTTGCTGTTGGTCATTTTCTACGGGCTTAGACATTTTATTATATTGAAAAATTTTAAATTTTATGTATTTTATGTTGCGAAATTTATGTTGAGATTTATGAATTTTATGTTGAAAAATTTTAAATTTTATGTATTTTATGTTGCGAAATTTATGTTGAGATTTATGAATTTTATGTTGAGAAGGAGAAGAAATATTAGAAATATTTGGTGCCTCTATATATTATTCAATCTGATAGCGTCCAAGCCACTCAAAAAAACAATTTAATGAAATTTTTGAAAGCAAAAATTAAATATTCGAAAAAAATAAAAAAAGTATTAAATCTCTAATAATAAAATCCTTAATAGTTTTATTAAATTTTTTTAATTGTTTTTTAATTGTTGTAATTGTTTGATAACTAATACGTCATATCGCTTTTTTTATTTGTTGTATTGTTTAAAAATACAGTTGTTTAGATAAATTATTATTTTTTCGCATCGATTAGTACAGACAGTAATTTTATTATCTCGCAATTAATTTTTTACTGATCAATCAAATTTTTTACTATTATTTTTTTACGCGACTGTAATTAATGAAAATTACCTTTTAAGTAAAACAAGTAAAATAAGCTATTAAAATACATCAGTCGGTAAATCGTATTTACAACATTAAAAATTTTTTGAGAAAAAAAGAAGATTGGTACAAATTTTAAATTATCAGCGTAAATAAATGACAGGACATTATGTACTATGCAATGTCATAGGTTGTAAATCAGTTTAATTGTCTGGAAGATGATAATTTAAAATACATAAAATCATGCATCAAATATTAATCTGACAAGCTTTAAATGAAAATTCAATAATCAAGCAAGACAAATATTTTTTCTAAATGAAAATAAAATTATAAGAATTAGTAATATTCAAGATGTTAATTCCAGTGCAAATAAAAAAAAAGATGTTATTTTCATAATAATAAGAGGAATAAATTAATCAATAATAAAATGTAAGCAGATTACAAAATAAATATAAATATATTTTTGCATCTATAGTTCTATACTACTATTCATGAAAACTATTCAAAATGAAATATTCTAATATTGTATATTCATATTACCCTGTATAAATTAATTTGAATTGTCATATTAATGAACTCGCTATCATTAAATTTGTATCATGAGTGTCACTAAAATTATGTTTCAATATTTATCACATCAAAATTGAAACATGATTGTGCAACGCTGCTATGATAAGAAGGCTTCTAACTCCCCCGATAAATCTACTTGTTTTATCACGAAATAAATACATGATCACTCAACAAATTCATTACCAACATCGCCTGTTATTATGAATAAATAAATAAAATTAATAAATTAATTTATAGTGGTGTAATACAAAATTATACTATCACCTGCCTTTTAATTGTAATGAGCTTATAAAGAAATAAAATCAATAATTATAAAATAAACATTTTATAATTAAAAATTTTAAACATAATACCTTCATTATTTTCTTCAAGATATGATGTCATAATAGATGAATTAACAGGTTTTGTTAAAATATTAAATGTAAATAACCTACTAGTGTATATAGCATCAGGATTTTTTTCATATGAAGTTGAAATATATGGTATTTCTTCATCAGCTTCTTCAAATGCTGTTTTAATATCTTTCCCTTCATATCCACGAAAAAAAAGGAACTAAGAATTTAAAATATTATACAATTCATTGGCTGTTGGTCTTTTATTTGAATTAGCATTCACACATTTATAAACTAATTTCTTATATATTTCAGGAGTTCCTATTCCAAATTCTGGTCTGAGTCCATTACATATGCCTAATACCAGACTTAAATCATGTTTTCTATCATAAAATGGTGGTTTTCAGATGATAATTCTGTCATAATTATACCAAAACTATAAATATCTGAGGATAATGTATATGGCTCCCATTCAAAACTTCTGGTGCGATATATGGAATTACTCCACATATTTTATCATCTGATTTCTGTTTATTTGATAGTCCGAGATAATCCAAAATCTGAAATATAAGTACTAGTATTATGTAATAATATATTAATAATATGTTTCCACTGTGGAAATCTTTATGAAAATATCCTAATCCATGTAATTTATTAAGACCATATGCTATCCATTGTAAATACTTAATTTTATCTTCCCATAAATTATTATTGAAATTGTGTGAAAGGACACTTCCCAAATTTCCTTTATCAACTAGTCGTAAAATCGTCATAAATTCTTCAGTTACAGGATCTTTGGTCATTCCATAAGAATTCAATGAAGTAAAAGAAATTGATTTATGAAAATTCCAATGGATTTTAAGCTATTATTTGGATAAAAATTTTAATTCATTAAATATTAAGTAGAATATGTAAAGTCAATACAAAACATACTTCATTTAAATATTCAGCTGACATATTCTGTGATCTATTTAATCTTTTCAAAGCAACTTTTGTAGGTTGAGGTTCTTTTTTTTTCCAACTTAAATCATCTTGAGATGTAGATTCTGCTTTACCATCAATCCATGTTGCAGAATATACTTTTGCAAAGCCACCTACACCAATTTGGTTTATATCTTTAAACCTATCAAATGGCAGTGATGGCAAATGACTAGGTCATTTGCCCATTTTGAGATGACCTCCGAATGACCTTCGAATGACCTAGTCATTTAGGTCATTTGTCATTTGAGTCATTTAAAATTAATGCTTTATAATTCAGGCCAAGTTAATGATGCCGGCCAGAATTATGAACTTCTAATATAATTTATCCATGAAATAGTGAAATTGTATGAATAGTTCTGGCCAGAATTATGATGTAATTTTTAAATGACTAGGTCATTTGTCATTTAATGTTGAAATGACCCAAATGACACGTGACCAGTCATTTGAGTCATTTGAGGTCATTTGGGTCACTGGCCAACACCTGTCTCTTATACACATCTAGATGTGTATAAGAGACAGCTGTCAAATGGTACCCATTCAAGAAACTTAGTACTAGTATCATTTCTTGCATTTATCAACGTCATTATTTCCACTAGTACAACCTTCAATCATGTGATGAGGATCACATTCTTTACACCATAATTCTTCAGTAAATGGTTTATTGCAATAAGAACAATTTTTATGGTTAATATTTATTAAGTTCTTGCTTATTTTGATGATTGATGATTTTCTGTTATTAAATCTGTTACACTATTTCTAAAAATGATCAATTTTTTTTTTTTTCAAAATACAACTTTTACTTCACATAAATTTTACTAATTTTACTAACAAGAGATCGGCACTCATTTACTATTACCTTTTACGCATTTGGAATTGCATGATTCCGCCTGGAATTATCCAAAAAAGGATAGATCTACACATTATTTTGGTTCATAAAATATTCTCATGTACGAGATTGTACTATTCATTATACAGCCGAATAAAGAAGGATGGCTAAGGTGTTGCCAAGACATATCATTGAAATAATGAAATTTTTTTGTACATGCAGCCACGTTATTCATGTGATTTATCTAACTAAATAAGACAAATAATATTTCGGTATTTCGTTATAAAATATCCTCGTTCTCGTTAAATTCGTAACTATTAAATTCGTAAACTATTAATAAAAAAAATAATGCCCGTCAAATTATCGGACAACTACGATTTATCAAAATATGTTATAATTCTTACTGGTGCAACTGATGGTAATTATTTTTTTTCTCAAAATTTAAATTAATATCAATACTTAAAAAAGTTTTAATAATTATTATTGATGAATTATAAGGCATCGGTAAAGAGATGGCAAAATTTTTATTCGGATTCAATCCAAAACGATTGATCATACCCGCTCGTAATAAAGAAAAAGGAAATAAATTATTAGAATATCTTAAATCTTCTAAAGGTCATACAGATAATGTTGAAGTTTGGGAAATGGATTTAGCAGATTTACAAAGTGTAAAAAATTTTGCTAATAAATTCATTAATGAAGTTGGAGAATTACATATGTTAATTAATAATGCGGGTAATAAGATTTATTTATATATTTACCGGAAAAAAAATCTATTCACGTGACTTGAACGAAAATAATAATTTTTTTATTTTAATCACGTCGTTTGATATTTATATATTAATTTTGATATTCTCAGGTATAGAAACTAAAAGACAAATCCTTAAAACGAAGGATAACTTGGAATTACAATTTCAGGTAATCTTTCTTTACAAGTCATTTGTATAACTTAATAACCGAGTTTTAACGATTATACATTTATTTTTTAGGTCAACCATTTATCACATTTTTTGCTTACCATATTATTATTGGATACGATGAAAAAATCAGTCTCTGCTGAATTACCCGGAAAAATTGTAATTACTAGCTCGAGAGCCAACAATTTTGGAGAAATTGATTTTGATAATTTAAATCTTGAAAAAGGTGCTTACTGGAACCCTCTTAAGGGTTATGCAAATACAAAGTTAATGGTGAGATTTCCAATTAAAATTTATTTGTTGAATCTTTATTTAATAATCAATATTAATGGCTCTAATTATATATACTGTTTGTTAAAACAAGAATATTATTATTTGTAAAGAGTTAAGTCGTATGCTTCAAAACGATCGTAAGTATTAAGAAAATATTTTTTTTATAAATATATGAAGAAAATTTAATCGATAATTTTACTTTTAAATATGCAGATATTACAACATATTCGCATAATCCTGGTGTAATTTTAACAAACATATCCCATTTGAATACCGGTTTTTCCATCTCAACTTTAACCATAAATACACTTGCGAGACTATTTGGAATAACAGCCGAGCAAGGTGCTACCAATGTTCTTTATCCTGCGCTTTCTCTTGAAAATAAAGAAACAGGAAAATATTATGATGAAGGCATTGAACAAGAGCCAAATAAAGTAGCATATGATGAAGAAATCGCAAAGAAATTATGGAGTGTCTCTGAACAAATATTAAAAGAACATGGAATGATTTGAAACTTTAATCTTTTAAATTCTTTAAATTTTTATTTATTTCTTACCATGATTTCTTTTTTTTTAAAAAAAACTTTTTTCATTAATACAGCTGTATAAAGGTTAAAAGCATGAAAATTTAATATTATATTCTTTAAAATCTATAATATTATATATTAAAATTTCGAGCATTATTATTATGTGTAATTTTAATCAATTAACAAAAATAGTAGGATCACTACTTTTATCTAGCTAGTATAATAATTATTAAATTTCTTTTTTTTAATTATATAGTTGTATGAATGTTAAAAGTGTAAAACTTTGAACATATATTTTATGATGTCTATATTATTAAAATTTCAAGTATTGTTATTATGTACAGTTTCGAGTAATTGACAAAAATAGGATTCCTACGTGTATGTATAGTATATATTATTTTTTCATATTAAAAGTTACATTATAATTGCGAATTTTAGTATACAGTCTCCCGAAAACAAAGGTTTGCTTGCGACTATCGCGTGTTATAAATCACGTGAAATAAAATTATAAAACAGCCAAATCACATGCGCGGATTTTTGGAAAGATATATTAAAGTCTAGCCTAACTTCCCAGGTATAGGTGCGTCAATTTTGTAAGTATTTCATATAGTCAAATGAGATGCATCAAATCGGCTAGTCAAAAAATGCGCGGATATTGTATTAGTTCAATAACAGTATGGTTTTTCGCGTCTATACGTGTATTACAAAATTTTTAATATATGAGTCATTACATCATTTCTCTATTAATTTATATTTCTTCATATACAAGTAAATATATAAAATTTCATTTATTTCAACTACCACTTTTTCTTTTTCCGCTTCTTAGGTGTTGAGGAGAGGTTTAGGAATATTCATGTTGGAGTAGCATGATGCTATGCATGGGGCATAGTGTGCCTACTTTGTAAGCCTGTGAGCATCAGATTTTCTGCAGTCTCACTGTAGGGCTCGCGGGAATTTTTTGGAGCAGTATAACTATGTGAGGGTTGGAGCATAAACACTTGCTTTTGGTAAGCTCAGCTTTTGCTGCAGTCCTGCAATAGGACTGGTTGGTCATGGTACGGCATTGTGCTATGCATAATTTTCATGGGTAAAGCATAGTACACTTCTTAGGAAGTCCTTTGTGGTAGGGTTATAGTACTTAATCATATTAAAAGTACAAGATTTTCAAAATATGGTAAATCAAAAATAATCAATTTCTTCAATAAATGATCCTAAATGATCAATAAATATTATTTGTCTGGTCCTAACTTTTCACTTAATTTATTTAAAATTAATATCTGATTTGTTCACAACTAAGATTTTACTAATTTTACTAATTTTATATTTATAACAGCAGAGAAATAATTAAATTTATTTAATTCAAACATATCACCATCGAATTATTCTATATTTTATTATATATAATACATGTATTGTTCATTATAAACTCTAAAGCCAGTTAAGTCAGTGTTGGTTTGTAATTTATATTCCAATATTAAATTTATTCAAATTTATGTCAATTTATTTATTTTGAAAATTGTAAAATTACAATTAATCTGAAATATCTTCAGTAAAATTGTTTTCCCTATTAATTCTTCAATAAAATCACCAAAATTAAGACATTTTAATAAAATAATTTTATAAAACAATTTTTTACTGTTCTAATTAATTAAGTATGAAAATGAATTAAATATTTGGCCAATTGATTAACATTATGTTTGGCCGATTTGGCCGATTTAGTTCTTGACCGCGGCCAATCCCAATCAACTTTGGCCGTCAATTTTGGCCGTTGGCTTTGGAAAATCGGCCAAACAAATTGGCTTGGCCGTGGCCAAATGCCAACACTGAGTTATTGCGGTTTTCAGAAATGTTGGCATTGATAGATTTTCCATATATTGTATATTTTGTGTTTTTGTGTTTTTCCGGACATTTTTGATGACAATTTCTGGACATTTTCCAGATATTTTCCGGACAAAAAAGAACACAAAATACAAAACACAAATACAATATTTTGTCTGTAAAATATCCGGAAAATATCTGGAAAATGTCCAGGCAATGTCCAGAAATTGTCATCGAAAATGTCCGGGAAAAAATTATATTTTGTTTGTTTTTTTTGTCCAGAAAATATCTGGAAATTGTCCCGAATTTGTCATCAAAAATGTCCGGAAAAACACAAAAACACAAAATATACAATATATTGAAAATCTATCAATGCCAACATTTCTGAAAACCGCAATAAGTCCTTCAATAATTAATTGAAATCAAGCGGCCACAGTTTGCGAGAGTTACCAGTCAAGTAACCAGTCTTTGCGTATGGTGTGAACGTACTTCTTAAGTTAAAAGCGGAGAACAATAAGAAAACAAAGTAGATAGGCAATGAAGTAATTAGTAATTAATAGCTTTGCACTGCTTTATTATCTGATACATAGAGTTTTGATTTGATTAACTGATCGCTCAGCCATATACATCAAATTACTATAATTTCATTCAGAATCTGATTTACATTTCACTGATCTGACACGTGTCTGGTCATCTGTTGCATTTTTGTGTAACATGAAATATCTATCAAAGAATCGCGACTGAAATTAATTTGCAAAATCTTGTTTTTCATCAATTTTTTTTTTTTATTATATAAACTAAAGTAAAAATATTAAAATAATGTTTTTTAACTTTATTCTTGAAGAACAATAATTCAAGAATAAAAAAATTTGAAATATCTAAATAATATGACATTCAACATCATATTCGAATCTTATGACGTATTAAAATTCTAGAATGTTAACTTCACTTTCAGTTGGTTTATATTTGAATACCCTAATTTAGATTTTGTGCTAAAGTAACGCAAATATTTATTAGCAAGTGAACGTCATATTGGAGCTAATGTTGCAGGCGAAACTGTTTTGTGGTTGGTGAAAGGTTTCGCCTTATAGGTAAAATTGATAATTTTTACGTTATTTCTTATATTAATATTCTCCGGATATTAAAATACACCATATTTAAATTTTACGATATTTGTTCGCACAATAATAATTGCGATCAAGAGATTATTTTATTATTAGTCACGATGAGTTATATTCAGAAATGTCCCAGTCAACTGTACGTCATAAATCATATTATGCGTAAAAAAAAATTTTCATGACTCAAACTAAAATTACTGCGTAATTTAATTATATGACTCGATAATTATATAATATCATACAAGATGAATAAGATTACTCAAAAAAGGATATATAAATTATATCTCCTAAGCAAAAAATATTTTTTCTTCTGTCTCATTCTTTTTTTAATACGATTATTTATATCCTCCATTCATAAATAATCGTAAATAACCCTAGCAGTCTAATCATCTGAAATAAAAACGAGAGTAAAAGAGCCGATATTTTGGCCCTTTGAGATGGAAGAGAAAAGTACAAAGATAAAGAAGACCAAAGGTAAAAAAGACATCGTATAGGAAGAGCAATATATAGTATATTTAATTTAATTTATTATAACACGATTGCTTTTTTTTGCTTCCTGTAGTAAATCAACACTGTCGACGATAGACTTACAAGAATGCGAACACATTTTTTCATATTTCTTTTCTTTATGGGTACAACTTTATAATCCCTGATATAAGATCACGGTATTGTGATGCATATTAAAGTACGGGACAGCAAATCATCGGAAAAAGGAACCAGACATCTATCATTGTTTATTTAGAATTNGTTTTTTAACTTTATTCTTGAAGAACAATAATTCAAGAATAAAAAAATTTGAAATATCTAAATAATATGACATTCAACATCATATTCGAATCTTATGACGTATTAAAATTCTAGAATGTTAACTTCACTTTCAGTTGGTTTATATTTGAATACCCTAATTTAGATTTTGTGCTAAAGTAACGCAAATATTTATTAGCAAGTGAACGTCATATTGGAGCTAATGTTGCAGGCGAAACTGTTTTGTGGTTGGTGAAAGGTTTCGCCTTATAGGTAAAATTGATAATTTTTACGTTATTTCTTATATTAATATTCTCCGGATATTAAAATACACCATATTTAAATTTTACGATATTTGTTCGCACAATAATAATTGCGATCAAGAGATTATTTTATTATTAGTCACGATGAGTTATATTCAGAAATGTCCCAGTCAACTGTACGTCATAAATCATATTATGCGTAAAAAAAAATTTTCATGACTCAAACTAAAATTACTGCGTAATTTAATTATATGACTCGATAATTATATAATATCATACAAGATGAATAAGATTACTCAAAAAAGGATATATAAATTATATCTCCTAAGCAAAAAATATTTTTTCTTCTGTCTCATTCTTTTTTTAATACGATTATTTATATCCTCCATTCATAAATAATCGTAAATAACCCTAGCAGTCTAATCATCTGAAATAAAAACGAGAGTAAAAGAGCCGATATTTTGGCCCTTTGAGATGGAAGAGAAAAGTACAAAGATAAAGAAGACCAAAGGTAAAAAAGACATCGTATAGGAAGAGCAATATATAGTATATTTAATTTAATTTATTATAACACGATTGCTTTTTTTTGCTTCCTGTAGTAAATCAACACTGTCGACGATAGACTTACAAGAATGCGAACACATTTTTTCATATTTCTTTTCTTTATGGGTACAACTTTATAATCCCTGATATAAGATCACGGTATTGTGATGCATATTAAAGTACGGGACAGCAAATCATCGGAAAAAGGAACCAGACATCTATCATTGTTTATTTAGAATTATTATACTTTAAGAGGAATTAAGGCAAGTATTTCCGTCGTATGGTTCTACTTGTTTTATGGGCGTGCGTTGTTTTTGAGTGTTATAACATAGGGGTTTATGTGCTCGTAGTACGTACCATATGCTATTGGCTAGTAGTCATCTGCTTTGTGCACAAAGTCGTAACTACTATGATGCCACGTAGGAGGTTCCACAAGCTGACTCATATGGGAGGGCAGGTCGTGGTGCCCATGGAAATGACACATATTTCTATGTTATGAGCATACTTGATTATGATATATGCTAACATAATGTAAATTTGTTTAGATTTTAACTAGGAATAACGCTAGTTACTATACTTCGAATTTGGATCTTTTTGTGGTACATTTTATTTGGAAAATATCATCAACATAATCATTTCATCAATTTAACAGAAAATTTAACCACAGATGGATAAAAGTCATGAAATTAACCCAACTCGGATAAAATTTAATTTTTAATTGCTGTGTATTTTTCAGTTATTGTTTTAGAACCATGATTAATTTGAAAGAAACACTGTTGATAGTGTTTAGTATAAAATTTTTTAATCTAACATTTTTCTAATTCTTTTGTTATATTTTAATATCCTAATTTGTTATAAAAAATAAAATAAAAATTGTATCTTATCTTATGATATCATATATTATACTGTCAAGATTTATTCTATCCAATGTAACGTTTTGTAAAGAAAAAGTCCGTGAAATATGCAAAGAATCTAATTAAAAAGTTTGTGCACAGTACTGTATGTAATATATTAGAAATTTTTTTTAAACACTATATAAATCTAACTACTTAATTATTCTTTAAACAGTTAGAATACAACGATAATTTTTTTTTATTAAAATTTTAATAGTAACGAAATCTTCTGATACTTAAAAGTTATGATAAAGTGTATCACTTTGACAAGAAAATGCATGTAAACATTGAGTTTTGACTAATTTATAAATGGTAGAATTGTAGGAAATTATTTAAAATATTTCACCATACACTTCATTGCTTTTCAATTTATAAAAAAAAAAATAAAAAAAAGTCTTAAATTAATTGCTGATCTACTATTTGGTGATGTTGTTCTGGCACACAAAATTATATTTCTTTCAGCCTCCACAGCCTCCATAGATTAGATTGCTATATTAATAATGTAGCAAGAAACGTGATCAACTTAAAATAAATGGTTTGATTACTGTGATACAAAATTTAACTATTCCCAATTCCTTTTTTATCTTCATTGATTAGAAAATATAATGTAACTCAACTAACGCCAATAAACCCAACAAATTTTCTACTAGAATATCCATCCATTACTAATTAAATTCAAGTCCTTATTTAGTAAATTAAATGTCTTTAAAAAAATCCTAATTTAGTTCTTATTGCAACAATCCAATTATGGTGTAAAGAATGTGATCCTCGTTGCATAATTGAAGGATGAACCAGCGGAAATAACGACATTGATAAATTTATCAAGGGTACAATTTTTAATGAACGAGATACTTTTCATTTGGCTACATTTCTTGAATGTGTACCATTTGATAGATTTAAAGTTAAAGCCCTATAAAAAATTTTTCAGAAAAATGATCACGTGACTGGGTTTCTTCGGAATAAAAACTAGAAAGATGATCATTTATCGGTTTTAAGACGTAAAACAAATTGGTGTAGGTGGATTTTCAAAAGTGTATTCTGCAATATGGATTGATGGTAAAGCGGAATATACAATACAAGATGATTTAAGTTGAATAAAAGAAGACCCTAAACATATCAAAGTTGCTTTGAAAAGGTTAAATGGATCACGGAATACGTCAGCTGAATATTTAAATGAAGTAGTATGTTTAGTATTGACTTCAGTTTACATATCTAAATTAATATTTAATGATCATTAAAATGTTTAATTAATAATTTTTAATGCAAAATAATAGCCTAAAATACATTATCAATCAATGCTATTTCATTAAAATTTTATGAAATGACAAAAGATCCTGAAACTGGTGGATTTATGATGATTTTGGAATTTCGGATCAAGGAAATTTAAGAATTTTTTTTTCACAATTTCAATAATATTTTGTGGAAAGATAAAACTAGATATTTAGAGAGTTTAACATTTGGCCTTAAATGTTTGGATATTTTCATAAAGATTTTCATAGTGGAAATATTTTATAAAATGCTAACATTTCTCGTATTACAGATTTTGGATTATCTGGACTATCAAATAAACAAAAATCGGATGATAAAATATGTGGAGTATTACCATATATTGCCCAGCAGGAGTTATATACACTATCTTCTGATATTTATAGCTTTAAAAAATTACTAGTAATTCTGGGCAGCACTATAAATTTGTTCTGGACTACTATATAGTCACATGACCGTTCGATTATGGAAAGATAGCTGATACTGTATATAGGACTTAGTTATATAGTGTGTTTTATTAAAAGTTCGTTATATCCAGTGAAATTATTTATAAAAAATCGGTTCTGGATTTATAGCGAGGGTTCGGTATAAACAGCAGGTTCGTAGAGTCGTAGTCGACTGTATGCTATATATACTATTTGCATCTAGTAATTTAACAAAACCTACGTCATACATTTATGACGAAGAAAATAATTAAGGTTTTATGTTAAAAAATTTATAATCAAATATTTAGTTCCATCAAAAAAGTAGGTAAGGTGATCTATATGAATTGATTAATTTTATTAGCTTATTCAAAACGACAGATTATAATAGTAGTAATAAAGATGATGTTGATTATTGAGCTATTATACATTTTTTTTGTGGTAAATCTTTATTTTTAGAATTAATTTAATTTATTTACGAATTCTTAACATCAGATAGTTACTGTATATGGTGTTATATGTATATTACTACTAGTTATTTCCAGATGATAAAATTATGGACTCTTCGACGTGTCCCATTAGTTTCGAGTTGCAACCACTAACCCGAAGTTATCTAAATGAATAGTGGTCTGTGCGTGATACTCAAATGAAAAAGAAATTTTGGTTAAATTATGCTATTCAACAGGACCTGGAAAACTTCTAATAGGGGTTACCGCCAAACATGATTCGAGGCTATAATTAATTTTCAAAAAGGTCACCGCCAAATTAATTAGTAAAAGTCACGTGTTGGTTCGCAACAATAAGAATTTTTTTGTGAAAATCTTTCCTTTCTTGGCCCTATTACTATATTTGAAATAGATACATGTGAGTAAACAGCAAAACAACCAATCATATTATGGTTCGCACTCCTATTTTTTTTTGATTTTTTGGCGGTAACCTTTATATATAGTTTTCCAGGTCCTTATTCAACGTTGGTATCGTACTATAATTATATAAACATTAATATTAACATGATTAAAATCGACTGAATTAAAATGATATTGGTACATTACATTTTATTATCACCAACAAATACAAAATAGGATGGCGATATTTGACTTTGTAGAAGATTTCCATTCATTGTTAAACTTATAATTAAATTTTATTATGGATACAAATAATATTTATACACAGTGAAATTCGATAAACCGGATCTATCGGTTCCACTAAAAATATCCGGTTTATCGGGATATCCGGTATAGCGAAAAAAATTTCGGTATATTGGAAATCTATTATACTGAATTTTTTTAAAGAATTCATGCTAATAAAATTAAAATACACTATATTTTAATTTTTCATCTTAGTTTTAAGTTGAAAATGAATATAAAATATTTTTAATTGAATATATAAGTAATATATAACTTCGGCCGGAATTAAGATTTTTATAATTCTGGCCAAAATTAAGATTTACCGCATCACGTTACTTAAATTTTATTGGTTAATGATCACGTGATCCGGTTTATCGAATCATTTTTACTATAGCTGGTTAGAAAATTGATCCGTTATATCGAATATCGAGCTTTTACTAGTAAACTCCGGTATATCGAAACTATTTTAATATACGTGATTTGGTTCCAGCAAAAAAGTCCGGTTTAGGGCCAAATCCGGTTTATCGAAGATCCGGTTTATCGAATTTCACTGTGTATATGTTATAATAAACATATTTTAAGGTTTAATTTTCGTTGAAAAAAATTTAAACTTCGGGCGTAGGATTGCCCCAAGTTTTGAATTTTGGACGCAATAATGCCTGGGTAACAAATCTGAGGTTAGAATGGTTGTTAGCACATTTTTGATGATCAGCTTTAAACATGCAATATATGGTTTTATAAAATTTTATAATATTACTAATATAATTATATAAGCAATTTGTAAAACGATTACTACAATTAGCAACCCTTTCCTAATTTTTGGCGTTACAAAGTTACAACTGTAATTTACCCCCTATCTGCTATTAGCAATAAAGAAATTAGTAATTATGATTTCTTAATTTGTAGTTAAGTAAAAGTCAATTAATTGCTTATATATAGTAAAAACAAAATATATAAACAATATCTTTTTATATAACCCATTGTTAGTGTGGCACAACTTGTGCGTAAAGTTTAATGATTTTTTATTTTAATCGCTATTTTGGTAAATTTTGGTAAACAAAATTGATCTACTAACTATATTTGTGAACAATAACGAGACTTCTTAACGTCTCCCCCTATTTAAAAAAGTATTAATTAATAATAATGTTTTTAGAATATCAATAACTAATAATTAATTTAATTTGTTTCACATGAAATAAAAAATTATTTTCATTCTGAGATCATTCCGAATTTTTTAAAATGAATTTTCTAATTTGAGAATAATTAATTAATTAACTTTGACTTTGTAGAGAAAAGAATTGGCATTTTTTGTCAAAAATTTTTAAGGCTAAAATTCATGTGATACAAAAATTTGGTGGCTTTTTTTTTATTGATAGTAAAATTACCATAAAAAATTCAAAGTTAATGTGGCATTACTGTTACACAACATCCTTCTACGTATTGATTTAAAACGTATGTTTTTCACACCTGAAATTTACATTTTAGGTGACCAATGAATGGATCTTATATGCATGTAGTATGCAAACCTTACTTTTATTTACATGTCAATTTAATATATTACAAATAAATAAAAAAAAAAAAGCATTTATAAGACTTATCAATTTCTTTTTTTTTTTTTTTTTTTTTTAAAAAAAAAAACTGCTTTCCATGATAATATCGGATAACTCCAAAAACACAATCAATTTTCGTTAATAAGCTTGTTATTATGGACAGAATATTATTTGGTCCTAATAATGATAACGGTGATGGCGGTGGATTAAATTCCAATAGAGGTGGTAGAGGAAATAATAGAGGCAACTCTGGTCGTGGAGGACGTGGTGGTGGAGGAGGACGTGGTGGACGTGGTGGTGGTGGAGGACGTGGTGGTGGTAGAGGACGTGGAAATAATAGACGAGGTGATAATAATCGTAACAATACACCACCTACACCACCTCCACCAAGATTAACTATTCCTCAAATAAGACAATCACAACAAGAAACCACTATTGCAAATTTTAGTTCATCAGAATTATCATATAAAGGTAGTGATAAAATAATTTTTATTACTAATGGGGATCCTATTAAACATATTTGGAAGAGAGTATTAAAAAAGGATGGTCCTTGGAATCAAAATGATGTTAGATTTTTTGTTAGTTCCGCTTTAGTAGCAACGGATTCTAAAACCGGTTATAAAGTAGAAGAAATTGTATCAGAATTAGGTAATCCTGAAAGTGGTCTTAGGAGATTGAGAGAAATTATGAATTTTCCAATGTCATGTGATGCGGGTCTTAGAGATGATGTATTATCATTCCAATATGTTATATTACCTTTATTGGGTTTATTGACTAGAACTGCGATTACTGATTGTAATTTGGAAAAATACGTTCATGCCATCTTTACGGCCGTTTATACAAACCTTGTAAGTTTATTTTTTTTTTAACTTATTAAATGTTATGTGTATTATGTATTCTAATGATTAAATACTTTACTTTTAAAATGAAGGAACAATTTCTTTATAATAATGTGATGAAAATGTTGGAGATGTTGTTGGGGCGTAATTCAGTTGTAGATCGTGTAGTTAACGCTGAAGCATTGCTAGCACGCGAACGTTACGCATTTATTCCATCCTCGTAAGTAGTAATGTATAGCGCATAACTATATTATTTATCTAATGTACTAATTCTATATTTTTTATTAAAAAAGTTTAGGAATATTTTTCTTAATAATCGTAAGACTTCTAACAGAATTATTACGTCGTATCAAAGAAGCATCCGTTAATGAAACTATGCATAAAATTTTCCACGATTTACAACGATTAAAAACTACTTATCAACAAACAATCAATCAACAACGACTATTTTTCAGTTCAACAGATCCATTAATTGATGATTTAGAAACTAGAGAATATTTTTTCACTATATTAGAAAAAGAGATGAAAACCATGAATAAAATGTTAAATAATGGTCGTACCAATTTAATATTTGAACAAAATCCTGATCCAAAAGATTTAACTCGATTATATTATAAAGAATTGGCTAGAAAAGTTGATGCAAAAAGAATTTATGATCCACCAGGAGAATTATCAAAAGAAGGTCAAAGGCATGATAATGATTTTGTTGAAATTGAGAAAATATCAATTATTCCTACCAGAGAAGAAGTTTTATGTGAACGAAAACCTTTTTTACCTTCTACACTTACTGATTCATTACACTTTTTACCTTATGGTGTAAGTAGGTTACTTGATACACAATTTCGTCTTTTAAGAGAAGATATGTTAAATCCTATTCGCGGAGGTATTTATAATTTCTTAAATGCGTTATTAAAAGATTGGTCATCACCTAACAATAATAGTAAACTATCTGCGGAATTAAAGAAAATACAAGAAAGAGGAGGTAGATTTAAATATAATAATGGAATAAGTGATAATGGTGATTTACAAGTATATACTCATGTACAATTCGTTAGAATTAGTTGTAATAAAAAGAAAGGATTTTATTGTACTGTAAGATTCAACTCTCCAAGATTTCGTAATTCAGGGAATCAAAGAGGTAGAAAAGAATATTGGGAAAAAACAAAAAAATTATTAACTGGTAGTTTAATTGCTATCTTACTACCAAATCCAGATTCTAAACAAACAAGACCTAATAACGCTTTTAATAATAATTATGTTTCTATAAGTAAATCTGATTTATATTCAATATATTTTGGTGTTGTAGCATTAAGAGACGAAAATTCATTATCTAATCATGCAGATTATTGTGATATTGATATTTCTTTTATCGATCCATCAATTTATCCTATTGCATTAAACGAAATTTCAAGATTTGAAGGAATAAATAGGAATTCTTTAGAAAAAAGATTTATGGTAGAGTCAACTGGCGTTTATTTCGAATCTTATTATCATATACTTAAAACTCTTAAAGAAACTGATCCTAATGTTATGCCCTTTGACAAATATTTGGCTCCTAATCTTGACGATTTTAATAATAATGGTGATGAAAATGTTGAAGGAGGATGGAGAAGAGATATTAATAATTTAACTGGTAGTAGTAGTAAATCTATCATAGATGTTATGGTTGGAAATCCTTTATATACTGTAGCGCCAGGGTTTCAATTTGATTTGTCTGTTTTATTTAAAAATGAACAAAGTGTGAAATTGAGCGTTGCTGAAACATTTTCACATAATGAAGTGGTAAAAGTTATTGAAGAAAAAAGTAAAGTCGGTAAATCATCCAGTGGAGTTACTTACGGATTGGACGAAACTCAAGGTAAATATTTAAGTAGTAGCTAAAAGTGTTGATAAGGCGTTCAAGGAGTTAAGGGAGAAACAAAATTACAAAATTTTACTAACCTAATTGATTTTTTTTTTTTAATAGCACAGGCGTTGATATATGCTTTAACGCGTGAAATTGCTTTAATCGAAGGTATATATGATTATATTTAAAACTATGATGAACGAAAAATTAATTAAAATTTGTTTTTTTAGGACCACCTGGTACTGGTAAAACTGTAGTCGGTATTCAAATAATGAAAGTATTATTGGCAAAAGAAAATCGTAAAACAGGAATCGGTCCTATTTTAACTATTTGTTTTACAAATCACGCTCTTGATCAATTCTTGGAGGTAAATTTAATCACTCGTTATAATTATTATAATTATTTGAAAATTCAAAAAAGAAATTTTAACAATAATTTTTAACGTTCGCTTTTTTTTTTATTTATTTTTTACTTATTTTTTTTAAGCATTTACTTGATGAAGGTATAACGAAAATAGTCAGATTAGGTTCTCGGTCAAAATCAGATAGGGTCAGAGAACTTAGCTTAGATAACAAATTTTATAGAAGCTCTTCTGATGCATCTCATCAATTAGCAAGATCATTAAGAGCAATTGAAGAAGAAGTTAAAGATATGACAGATACTATATTTAAAAGACATTTAAAGTGGGATGATATAAAAGCACATTTGAAGGTTAATGAAAGGAGATTTTTTAATAAATTTAATTATGTAACTTATAATGAGTTACCTAATTGGGTTTTGGGTAATGGTTCTCAAAAATCTGTTGATGGTTTTGAAGTTGTTCGAAAAAAGAAAAAGAAAAAGTTACCAACATTTGAAAGATGGGTAAAGGGGGAAGATATTGCAGTAATTAATAAAAGAAAATTGGATTTTATAGAACTAAGAAATAATATTAAGAAAATTAATGCGAAAGGATCATATCATAATACTTTTGAAGTATTAGGCGATAATGGTGGTGATGAAGAGAGTTCAAATGATGATTTGCTAGTTGATTACGTTGATTACGATACGATATATTGGGTTGACAAGTATGAAGAACCAAAAACAGATCGTCCTATAGAAGAATTATTAAAGATTTATTCAATCTGGAAAATGTCAAGAGTAGAAAGAATAAGACTTCATGATCATTGGCGTGCAATAATATATAAAAGAGTTGAAAAAAGACTATCAGGTTTACAAAAAACGTATGATGTCAACCGCAAAGAATTGGATGATATTAATGATGAAGAGCGTCGTGAAATATTATTAAAGAGTGATGTTATTGGTATGACCACAAATGGTGCAGCTAAATTTCAAGAATTAATTAGATCTGTTGATCCTAAAGTTATTGTTTGTGAAGAAGCTGGTGAGGTTTTGGAAGCTCATATTCTAAGTGCATTAACTCCATCAACTCAACATTTGATATTAATTGGAGATCATAATCAACTTCGACCTAATGTTGCGACTTATACTCTTAGTATGGATTCACAAATAGGAAAGAATTATCAATTGGATCAATCATTATTCGAAAGATTAGTTAAAGGTGATAATGCAGTTAAAATCGAGAAAGCTCGACTCTTAACTCAGAGACGTATGAGAAAAGAAGTTTCCGATTTAATTAGAAATACACTTTATTCAAATTTGGTTGATGGGGATAATACTGCAAGATACGAGAATATACGTGGAGCTCAACAAAACGTATATTTTATTGACCACAGGCATCCAGAAGATGGTTCCGGTGGCGATTTTGCAATACAGTCTCATGCAAACAAGTATGAAGTTAAAATGGTAGTTGAGATGGTAAAATATTTCGTTAGGAATGGATATACTAAACAAGATGATATAGCCGTACTTACTCCTTATTTAGGACAAATGATGAAAATTAGAGAAGCATTAGCAAAATCATTTGTTGTTGTTGTTGATGAAAGAGATGAAGAGAATATTACTCAATTGGAAGAAGATCGAGATGGTGAAGAAAATGATGATAAAAATAATAAGAATATAATTGATGAAAGTGTGAGTGTAGCTTCAACAAAATCATTAAATCAACAAGTTACTTTAAGGACTGTTGATAATTTTCAAGGTGAAGAAGCAACTATAATTATTGTTTCATTGGTTCGTAATTTCTCCGGAACCGGTGGTCATGATACAATTGGATTTCTCAAAAGTACCAATAGAAGTAATGTTTTATTGTCACGTGCTCGGGAAGGAATGTACCTCATCGGTAATTCGGAATTAATGGCATCAAGATCTAAAGATATGTGGGAACCTGTAATTAAAATGTTACGTGAGCGTGATCCACCACAAGTTGGTTTTGGTATGCCAATTGTATGCAATCGTCATCCTAATTACAAACATATTATAACTGAACCTGAACAATTTGAACAAGTTAGTCCTGATGGTGGATGTAAAGAACAATGCGACATGCTACTTCCTTGTGGACATGCGTGTACTCAGAAATGTCATTCAGATGATCCTAAACACGTTGGAGTCCAATGTTTTAAACGTTGCACAAGATTACAATCAGGATGTAATCATCCGTGTCCAAAACTTTGTTATGAAGATTGTGGAAGGTGTGAATTTTCCGTTGGAGATATTGTATTGCTTTGTGATCATGAATTTAAAAATGCTAGATGTTGGCAAGAGAAAAATAAAGAAAAAATTAAATGTAAACATCTAATTGATATTACATTGCCTTGTGATCATATATTAAAAGATGCTGAATGTTGGCGAGAGGAAAATAAAGAAAGTATCAGGTGCACTCATCATATTGATATTATATTACCTAATTGTGGTCATATATTACGCGATGAATGCTGTAAAGAACAAACTAAAGAGACACTCAAATGTGAATTTCCTATGGGGGATATTATATTAGATTGTGGTCACATAAAACGTAACGTTGAATGTTGGCAAAATCAAATGGGACTTATTTGTACGGAAGTAGTTACAGTAAAATTACCATCTTGTGGACACAACAAAGTCATGAATGTATGTAATAAATTTTTTTTTTGGTTTTTTTTGTTAATATCTTTTAACGCGATTTTTTTTTATTTTTTAGTGCAATGCATCAGTCGATTATGCTAAATGTAAAGAGAAGTGCGGAAAACAATTAGCATGTGATCATGAATGTTTAAATGAATGCCATGAATGTCAAGAACTTTCTTCACAAATAAGTGGAGATACAAACGTCCCTATTGAACGCGTATTTCATGGAAAATGTAAAGTATTATGTAACAAGCTATTATTTTGTGGGCATTCATGTAGACAATATTGCCATAAAGGAGAATGTTCACCTTGTAAGAATAGATGTTCAATATCATGTGAGCATACAAGATGCAATAGAAATTGTCTAGATCCTTGTGCTTTATGCGCAGAAAAATGTTCTTGGGAATGTAGACACCAAGGAAGATGTGAGTTAAGTTGTGGAATCCCTTGTTCTAGATTACCCTGTAATGAAAGATGTGGTAAAGCATTGAAATGTGGACATAAATGTGCTGGAGTTTGTGGTGAGGTATGCCCTTCAAAAATCGATTTTTGTGTTGTATGTGCCCCTGAAAAAGTTAAAAATCAAGGTGAGTTAATAAATATTATTATAAACAAAATTGTTTCTTTTTTTTTTTTTAATATTAAAGTTGTTAAATTTTTTTTTTATTTTTTTTTAACAAAAAATTATAGTATCAGACACGATTAGCGATATCATTTTTAGTGAGATAGATTGGAATCAAGAAAGAATGATTGTTCTTTCTTGTGGTCATGTATTTACCATGAAAAGTATGGATGCGTTGATGGAAATGAAGAATTATTACGAAGGTTCAAATGAAGGAGGATGGATATCACTTAAAGAACTTCCAACTCCATCAACGGATATAAAAACGTGTCCGGAATGTAATTCACCAATTAAAAATATAAAGAGATACGGAAGAGTAATTAAAAAACACACATTAGACACACAAAACAAAAAATTCTTATTAAAATATCATTTCCAATTAGAAGGAATTAGAAAACAAATTAATTCGGTCTTTGAAAAATTGGGAAAAAATAGAAGACAGTTAAAGAAGGATTTAATTGAGATTCTTGAATCTGAATCAATACAAAAAGGAGAGGTAACATTTAAAGAATGTAAAAATAGAGGACTACCTGAAATTACTCCTTATTATTATTTTGAAAATATTGAAGTATATCATGGATTTGATGAGAATACTGAACAAGTTTGGATTAATCACGTTAGAAAATTATTAAAACGTTATGATGAGTTAACATTTATTATTCGTGCCACGAAATTTCCTCCTCATAAAAAAGCTTTGGAAGCTTCTATAACTAATTTGTAAGTATTACGATATTTCTAAAAAATTTTATTGTGGTTTTTTTTTTTCAAAAAATAATGTTTTTTCTTCTTTTTTTTATAGAAACGCAAATAACGCAGATCTCGAAGAACAATTAATTACACAATTATCAGATCTTCATATTGGGGGTCCCTCCTCAAATTCAAATTCAAATTCAAATTCTACCCCTCCTGAATATTTACAATTTACTTCGCAAGTAGATCGTAAAATTTATTTAGATGCAGTTTTCGAAATGATCAATGTACAAAAAATTCTATATGGTGAAATTTTATTCATAATTCATACATTCGAATCTGAATTTAATATTAGAGAAGAAATATGGATTACTTTTGCTCAAAGACTACAACAAACTATTCAACAACATCTTTATGCAATAAGAGAAGCTGCAGAATTGGCTAATTACGGTAGATACTTTCTTTTAGTTAATGTAGAAATATTAGAACTTGATCTTAAAATGATTGCGTATCAATTAAGATATCAACAAAATGATACCCTTATTGATAATGCAACTCAAAAGAGAACTAAGAAAAAATGTGAGGGTATTAAGGAAAGAACCGTAGAAGTATGTAAAAATTATAGAGCCAATGATAATAATGAAATCGAAGGAAGAGCATTTAAGAGTGATATTTATAAAAGATTAGAAATTTTATGGGAAAATTGTGATAAAGTTATAAATTGCGTTGAAAATTCGAGCACAAGTGTTGATAGTTTTTTAGGAACTGAAGAATTATCAGAAATGAAAAGAATTGATCAAATTACGAGACTTAAACTTAATAAATCAGGTAATTTTATCATAACTTATTTTAATGCTCTTTAAAAATAAATTAATTTTATTAATTATTTTTTTTTTTAATTCATTATTAGGTCATTGGTATGAATGTTCCAAAGGTCATCCGGTAAGTAATTTATATGTTCTGATTACTATATAAGTATTTAACTTTGCCTTGTTTTTAAACTTATGATGTTAATTTTTTTTCTTTTAGTATATAATTGAAGAATTTAATGAAGCTACTGGTTGTCCTGATTGTAATATGTTTGTCATCAATTAACTGAATAGGTTCAGAATTTGTCTTATATATAGATTCTTAAGTGTTAGTATTAAATGTATAACGAAAAAATATTTATTATAAATTTTGGATTTTAGTAATAAAGAAATCTTTCCGTAACGTAAATAATATAAATTTGTTTGCACTTATTTATCAAAAATGAGATTTATCCCCAATTTCTTGAGCAGTTCACTGTAATTATGCATAATAATGATTATTGTGAGCGATTGATTAATTCATGGTGGTGAATTAACTCATGGTAATTTGACAATACATCGTATAATGCCGAAATATATACACCAGACCTGATATAAAATATAAAATAACACATGCCGAATTGCCGTAATGCCGAATTGGTAAATTGACGTAATGCCTTGGTGAACAGATTTGATACCCTACTTGAAAAATTTTATAATTTTAATAATTTACAGATAATTGCAAAAAGAATGGACCACCCAATTCATTTTCATTCCCTTCATACGCAGGGAGTTCCTTAATGTACAGTGAGGGTGTACGATATTAAAGTACGAACTAACGTTAACGCTATCACGTGCAATTGCATAACTCCTAAACTCGGGCCGTTAATATCGTACACCCCCATTGTACATTAAGGATACCCCATTCGCAAAAATGTCACGAAAAAATCACGTGACTGCTTTTTGTCACATGACTTGGGTTGTTATTTGTCACATTAGTTAATTTCTTAATTTCTTAATGCCGGCCGATTCGACATTTTAGTAGGGTAGTCATGTTTTGTCGTCCGAAAAAAAATTTTAACGTGGATTTCGTTATAATATTCATAAAATCGAATTTACTTAAGTATATTGCGTTTTACAAAAAAAAAAAAAAAACTGTATAATCAGTATTCTAAAAACCTAACGAACATTATTTTTTAAAAACATAATGGTAAAATTAACAGAAGTAAAATTTGAGGAATTCTAAGTTCTAATTATATATTAATGTAATACATAACGCTTATCATTTACAAATCGAATATGCCGTCCTTTATTTAACAAATAACAACTCGCTATGGTATAAACAAATATAATGTGAACATAATTTCGAATTTTTCGCATTAAAGGATCAGAAAAGGTATGTAAAGTAGAAGAAAAATCCGAAAATAATAAATTTCTGGTTTATTCATCAGATTAACTTTTCATAATTGTCATAAATATTTTTTGTTAGGATTAGTTCACGCTGAGACTGCTGATACTGATTTACATTTTTCATTGGCTTATGTAGACATCACGAACCCATTTAAGTGGTAATTAAAAAATATTCTATTGTTTGAATGGACTAATATACATTAATATACGGCTCTATAGGACCATCATGTACACGTTGTACCAATATTCTGCACGTCATGCTTAATATAGCGATTATAACGTGCTCAATATTATTAAATGCAAATTTATAATTATGAAGTTTATAAAATACAGTATATGATTATAGATATTATTAAAAATGCATAAAATAAAAAAGATAATGTTTTAATTTTAGCATAACAATCAAATATTCATAAAAATATATTACTCTTTCTTTTGACATTATTTATGTACTAAAGGATTCAATAAAGGTGATTTAGAAAGAGAAGAAGAAATAAACTAATAAAGTATAAAAAAAGTTTAATGATGGTCATTCTGATCCGTATATTAATATTGTTATTGTACGAGCGTCATGCTTAATAATGATCTGATGTGGCACTCCGTGCCACATCATACCATTATCAAGCACGCCCGTACAATAACATACAATTAAACTGTAAGTTTAATTTTAAGTATTGTGAAATTATAATGTAGTGCTGGCCAGTGTTTAATTAGATTTTTAATTCTGGCAAAAAGTACATCATAATGCTGGTATGGTGTCCATCACCACTGACCGTGAGCTTTAGCAATTTTCATGTAAACTAGGTTTTGTAAAAAAAAAAATCGGTTAGAACATGAATTTGTAGGATTACCAGGTTTTTCTATTACTTCAGAAGCAACAATATCAATTGGTTTAGAAATAATAGTACCTGAGAAAGAATTTTAAAATTAATTTAATTAGGTTTCTTTTTTTTTGGAGACAAATTTATAATAAATTGAACAAACAAATTTTAGGCGTTTATTATCATCATAGAAAATCAAAACTTTATATAGTTTACATTGTTTTCTTATTATGTAATTTATTTTTCATTATTATTTTCTTCCCTATTGCATCGCATCATTTAGTTTTTGATATTCTTCCTTAATGTTTTAAAAATTTAACCCATTATATTAGGTATATCCTTTTTTAGAGTTAATATGAAAAAAAATCGTAATTCCAACACTTGAACCATGCAAACTTTTTAGTCATCTCCATTCACCGTTATCACTGGAACAGAAATGCTTGCCAAAAAGAAGAAAGACATTTACAGCAGTAAAAAAGTTCCAGAATACATCAAAGAAAAAGAAGACCAAGTACCTTGAATGACATGCCAAATGTGACGTTAAAGAAAAAGCTGAATGTGAAAAATATCAAGCCAAATTAGACTATGCTCATACTATGCAGTGAAAGTACGGGAACTAAATAAAGTAGTTAACCATATTAATACCCTTTGTAATTTTTAAAAGGCAACTGCCATTCCAAAGGTTTTTTCATATTTTAATTGGTAAAAACACGATCAATAATTGAATTCAAATGTGATTGTTGGAGTTATTTAGCAGCTAAATCTGCTCTCCATTGTATAGAAAAGATGCAAGTTGTTGAACATAAAAATCTAATGACAATCCTGACTCAATGACCAAAAAATTCAAACTGAAAAAAAAGAAGATAAACTAATTAGTAAGAAAATCACCTCCAAGAATTGAACTTGGACACAGAAATTGTGGAACCAACGGTGATGGATTATTGTTGAGTTGATAAGTTATTAAGGAAAGAACTCAACAAAGGAATAAAATAAAGGGTATCACATGTGAAAAATTAAATCACATGAGATAGATCAAATGATCAAGAAAGGTAAATTTTACAAGACAAAGGACCTCTCTGACACCAATCAGCACAGTGCAATGCTTCATGGGCGATGCAAACGATCCCCTTGTAAAATTTATCTATCTAAGAATGGTCAAATGATCAAAAAAGGGTAAATTTTTACAAGACAAAGGATCTCTCTGACACCAATCAGCACAGTGCAATGCTTCATGGGCGATGCAAACGATCCCCTTATAAAAATTATCTATCTAAGAATGGCCAAGTATTCCC